GAATTCCTTTAGCAAGATTTGGACGTTTGCCATGAATTATGTACTTGCAAGAAATGAATTCCTCAATCTTATCACTCTATTTAACTGGCTAGAAGAAACAATTTTTAAAAATACTTTTTAAAAACCCTTGTTATATATTGTGATGCAGTATTTCAGGCTCATAGTAAGTTAATTTCATCTGTATCATATATAAAGTATTCAGTGTATTTGAACCTTGTGTCTACTTAAGTATTCCTATTGCTTCCAGACATCACAAATTTGTAAAAAGATTAGATATGGAATCCATGTCTTATCATCCATTTAATAGCTTTCTTAGGGCAATATGCTTAGCAATAAAGATTAGGCGGGTTGAGGAAGTCTTTAGGGGCTCAGCAGAAAAGATTAACAGATTCTTTTTTGTTGGGGGTGGGGTAGGGAAGTCCATGTATAACATTTAAGTGGGCCCTGAAAAATCTCTTATACTAACTATTGACAAGTCACAGTGCACATTTTTCAGTGCCCCCTTTCTTGACTAGGGGACTGCCCAGATAGTACTTTAATAATTAACTTTGGTTTTCCTAAACCCTGTACTTTATGTCCCTTCTAGACTTCAGATCCTTTGATACATGTGAGGCATTTGATGTCCTTTCTATGCAGCAAAGCTTTGTTCCCTCACCTCACCCCCAAGACTGTTACAGTGGCCCCATCCATCTTGCTGCCTCCATCTTATCTTCTTGCCCTGGAATCTGTCTTCCATAAATTCCCTAGTGACCTTTAGATCATCATGTCTTTCTCTTGTCTAGAATCTTCAGTGACTGCCCATTGCCAGCAGGGTGAATTCTCTCTGCTTCAAATGGTTTATAAAGCTCTTGCCAGCTTCTTAATTTATTATTCCCTACTCTCTATCTTATATTGTGTGATCTTAGAATTCCAACTCTGAGATTTCTTCACAAAAGCTGTAGACATAGAAAAATGACATGTCCTTGTTATATTTTCTTTGCCTGAGAAACTCTTCAGACTCTTGTTTAATTTTTACCATCCAAGGTTTGCTATAGGCAACTCTCTTCTTTGCAGTTGTCACCCACTCTCAGAGAATGACTGATGCTTCCTGATTGTACTCACACAGTAACTGTGTGAATGTGCAAATGAATGACCCTCATACAGGTCTTCTGTTCAAGGACATGATTGAATGTATAAGCCAATCATCTTCAAAGGTTCCTCTGAGGTGTGAACTTGTTCCCCTAAATCATATACAGTGTTATAAACCAATGTTAACTCAATAAAGAAAAATATATATATAATAAATTTCATTTGGCAGATGGTGTAGCTATAAGTTGTAATGGGGAAGTGCAAATTAAGAGCATCAGAAAGTGACTTTTATACAACTACATGAAATTGTCTTCTAATTTATTTTTAATAAATGTACAGGGGCCGTTCTTTAAACTGTTCCTCTGGTAAGTTACATGCTTTTAAAATATGGTGTTGTAGTATTTAGGATGCATTCATCCTTGCTATAATTGTTCACATACTAATACATTTTTTCTAATGCTTCACTCTTTCTATTGTGCCATTAACTTGTCTGATTTTATCCCAACACTTTATTTTCCTGAATTCCCCTCTTCTTTTATATTCTAAAGTCCTTCAAAGTATCATTCATAATCAAAGATCCTGCCTATAATAAAAATTATAGAAGACCACTGTGGTATTCAGTTATTCCATGTTAATATGGTTTGTGAGTTTGCAGACTTTCTCTACAAAGGGCTAGATAATAAATGTTTTAGGCTTTGTGGGCCATACAGTTTTTGTCACAATTGCTTAACTCTGCTTTTATAGAAGGAAAGCAGACAATAAGCTAACAAATTAGCGTGGCTGTATTCCAATAAAACTTTATTTATAAAACAGCTAACCCCTGGGTCATTTGGAGACTTGTTTTCACAAAGGAAGATTTAGTTAGGTTCTGTTCAGATACAGGAACAAATTCTAAGTGCCTTGTACCCAGAGTCTAATATTTCTAATTAAACATTATAAATAATTATACACAGTAAATAATTTGAAGGATATTTGTATCACACCTTAGTGTGCACTTTTATCAGAAACAGTAGCTGTTGGGGGAAAAGATTATGTAAAACTTCATTTGCTTTAATAGCAACTCACAGCTCAGCATATTAGGAATTGCATCCCAATGGAACCAGAAATTTCTGTCTGCTGCTCTGACATTCAATAACAAGAGCTATAAAAGTGTTCATGCACTTTACTGGTACTGTAATTTTTAGGGAATATTCCACAGCAATGATGTTTCATAACCCAGATGTGTCCCAAGTGTGAATCTGAAACTGACCTCTATGTACAGAAGGCAAGGATGGACTAAAGAAAGGCAGGCTATTCAGACTGGTAGGTAGCAGTTTTAATGAACAAGGGGACTTACTTAGGAAGCATTGTCTTGGGTGACCCCACAATGAGTAGTTTTCCACAGCACACCCCACCAAATCTCAAAGTTTTATAGAGGCTTGTATTATGTTCAGTAGATATATGTAAACCAGCTAGTCTCAACAACACACCACACATACACACTCTCTCGAGGCAATATCTGAAGCAGTTTCTGGGTCCTGCTGTTCCATGGAAGGAGGATAAGGACTGTCTCGTCCTTGACTTATTCAGTCAAGACGACTGAATATTCCCCTGGGGAGGGGAATGAGAAACCTCAGATTTCCCAGTCCCAGCTTGTGAGTCATTTCTTTGGTAATGTATTTTTAATTGCTTTCCCCAAAATTTGACTCCAAGGGAACAAAATCAATGTACTAAATGATAGTTAGGACAGGATGATTCATTAATGCTATAATTCTAAAGTAACCCTCCTAGAAAATGGAACAATAGCATGTGGGAATTCTATAGAATTTTCTTAAATGTTAATTGTGAGGAGTGTATTGATCCTCTAAATGTGCAAATTAAAATTACAAGTGAGAAAAATGGGAAAAAAATCAAATATAATCTCAAACATTTAAAAATCAATATTACAAATAATGATTCAATATTCATTAAGATTTTGTTGAATTAGAGCCTATTGTAAGCAAGTCTGTGCTGTAATTAAACAGACCAAAATTCCGTCCTCATGGAGCCAATATTCTTATGAGAGGAAGGCACAATTTGAACATGAAAGGGATTTTAGTGCTTAATATGTTTGGAAATTTAATATCATGAATTTCCCCCTGTAAAACTGCTTATATAAAAAAGCTTCCCCCACCCCATTTTGTTTGGTTTGTTAAGAATAAGAATTTCTCTGCTTACTTCATTTTTCAGGTATTTAATTTCTCTGTATGTGCCAAGCAGTCTTCCAGGCACAGGGAATACATTGTAAACAAAACATTCAAATATACCTGCAGCTACAGTCTAGTGGAGGGAGATAGAATATGGGATAAGTAAAAATATTTTACTTATCAAAAAATGGGGGGGAAAGATGGTGACTATGGGGCAGAGGAGAAAAAAAGATATACAAGTGTGGAGAAGACAAATTTTAGATTGATCAAGAACTCCTTGAGAGCCTCCCTGGTTGCACAGGAGTTAAGTCTCAGCACTATGAAGCTATCTGCAGCCACTGCAGCATGAGTTCGATCCCAGCCAGGGAGCTAACTCACATGTTGTAGCAGACCTCTCCTGTCTTGCCTGCTGCTCCCCTCAGCAGTGTATTTCAGTAGATCTGCCTGTTCTGCTCCCCACTCTGTTTCTGGTGGGTCCTCTCACCACCACCCCTCCATGCCTCTAGCCTGTACCCCAGTTCTTGTATGCATAAAAACATAAATCTTAAAAAAAAAAAAAGAGCTCCTTGAAAAGGTGGCTTTTGAGTAAATAGTTAAATGCAGCAGCAGCAAGTGACAGTGAGTTGGGGGAGGGCCATGAAGGAAGAGGGAAGAGCATCAACAAGTTCAAAGGCCTTGAGGTGAGTGAGCATGTTCCTGGGCATTCAAGGAACATCAAGGAGCCCCGCTCAGAGACTGAAAGAAAGAGCAGTGGGAATTGAGATCAAAGGTGATCAACAGAGCATATCACATTTGACCTTTGAAGTCATTGGAAGGATGTTGGCTTTTGTTCTGATTACGGGAAAATACTGGAGATTTTTGAGGAAAGGATAGAGATGATCAGGCTTACATTAAAATAATTCCTGTTGTTGCAACTGATCGCAGATACAGGGAGGATTTAGGAGACTTTGCAATAGTCCAGATGAGAGACAGTGAGTTGGGTGGGATAAGCATCTTGAGTGGGAGCAGCACAGATGGAAGGATGGGGGGTTCCCACTGTCAGATCCCACCTGCCATGAAGGAGAAGAAAACTGGGGTGCAGAGACCATTCCTGAACTGTTAGTGTATCCCTAGTGGGAAGCACAATGTCAGACACATACTGATTGCTTAAGTTGGTTAAATGTTTGGGCCTCCCTGGTGGCACAGGCGGTTGAGCACAGCACTGTGAGAATGTCCGCAGCCTCTGCAGCACAGGTTCAATCCCTTCAGGCTGGGGAGATACCCACATGGTGTGGCAGACCTCTCCTTTCTCGCCCACTGCTCCCCTCAGCAGTGTATTTCAGTCAGTCTGCCTGTTCTGTTCCCCTCTCTGTCTCTGGTGAATCCTCTCACCCTCCTGCACATCTGGACTGTACCCCAGTTCTTGTATGCATGAATAAATAAATCTTAAAAAAAAAAAAAAAACAAAGTCAAAAAAGAATGTGAAAACAAATAGCTATCTCATGGCTGCCTTCTGTTAGAGAACTCTGACTTCATCACTGCTCCCTCCGTCAGTCATTTCCCCAACTTTATGTATTTATGAATTAAAACCGTCAATGTTTGTTGATGTCATAAGAAGGCTTTAGTTTTCAATGACCTCCATTAAGTTAAAATTACAGAATAGTAAATATTTATTGAACCATTTCTTTCTTTTTCACACTTTATGATAAAGTGTAAGCACAAGTTATTGCCTTTTACTGTTAAAAAGCCTAAAACTATATGGAACTAAATGCAATACTTTCTTTTTAGGGATGAACTAAATTCTTTATTGAAGAACTATAACATTTTTTATGGGGACCAGAAAAATCTGCATATTTTATATGGACAGGTAAGCACATCAAAGAAATGTACTATAGTTTACTTTAGAAGAAAATATTCCTTTAAAAAAAGTCAGGATGAGTTTGAGTCCATATCCAACAGCATGAACAGTCTAGGAGAAATAGGGGAATCTTTAACTTGATAATGATTTTTCTTTTTAGACACTATCACAAAATCCCAGATCTGGAACACATGACTTTCCAACTAGTTTTGCAGTCGGAAAGCATTTAAAGTAATTTTAATAATGTATTTGCTTTTGAATTTAAAAACAGTATTTATCTTTTAAACACCAAGTCCACTAGAAATCTATCCCAATGTTTTCTTACCACACCAGGGCATATCTAGAAAGATGTTCACGGTGATGTCATTTCTAATGAAGAAAAATTGTGTCCACCAGTGTGGAATTGTTCAAATAAATTATCACACATCTTTGGATTTAGTTAACATATTTGGACTTAATTAACATATTTGGATTTAGTTAAAATGGCTGAAGTAGAATCCAGTGAATGGCCACGATGTCACAATAACACATTTTAAAATTTAGGAAACAGGGCCTCCCTGGTGGCGCAGCGGTTGAGCTCTGGGTTGCGAAGCTGCCCACAGCCTCTGCAGCGCCTGTTCGATCCCCGGCTGCTCCCCGGCCACCGGAGGGTCCCACATGGCGCGCAGACCTCTCCTGCCGCCCGCTGCTCCCCTCAGCTTAGGAAACAATTCTGAAAAGTACTGAAATTATAAAACATTTTTAGGGGTACAACAACTGATAGGCTACTGTACAAACTGAACTGATATTGTTTCCTTTAAAAATATTACCTATAATATTATATAGGTTTCAGGTATGTATCAGTATACATCAACATCTGCATATACTACATTATGTTCATTACTAAAAGTTTAAATCTATTCTTCACCCTAAGATTGACCCCTTTTACCAGATTTATCTTCCATTCTTTTCTTCTGACAATCATTGATTCAGTCTTATATTCTAAATGTTTCTTTTATCTTGTTTAGTTCATTCTTATTTTGTTCCTTTATGTGCTACATATGAATGAAATCATACAGTGTTTGTCTTTCTCCTTCTAACTTATTTCATTATGCATAACATTCTGTAAGTCCATCCGCATTGTTGCAATGGCAAAAATGCATTTTTTTAATAGTAAAGTGGTGTTCCCTTATGCACATATACCACATCTTCTTTATCCAATCATCTGTTGATGGGTACTTAGGGTACTTGGCTATTGTAAGTAATACTGTGATTGCATAGAGTGCATAGATATCTTTAAATCAGCATTTTATATTCTTTAGATAAATATCAGAAGTGGATATATGGATCATATGGGATTTCCATTCTTAGTTTTTTTAGAAATTTCCATAATGCTTACAATGCACCAATTTACATTCCCACTAACTTTGTACAAGTGTTCCCTTCTCTCCACATTCATCTTACAGCACATGTCTTTTGGATAATTGTCATTTTCACAGGTGTGAGGTGATATCACATTGTATTTGTTTGCATTTTCCTAATAATAAGAGATGATGAATATTTTTTCATGTGCCTGTTGACCATCTGTATGGCTTCTTTGGAGAAGTATCCATTTAGATCCTCTGCCCATTTTTTAATAAAGTTGTTTGCTTTTTTTGTTGCAGAGTTTTATGAGTCCTTTAAGTATTTTGTATATTAACCCCTTGTCAGATATATGATTTACAAATATCTTCTCCCTTTCGGTAGGAAGTTTTTAGTTTTTATGATAGTTTCTTTCACTGTGCAGTTTGATGCAGATCCATTTGTTAATTTTTGCTTTTGGATCCCTTGTTGGGGATCAAGTGACCAACAATATCGTTGCAGTTGATATCGAGGAACATGTTATCTGTATTCTATGTATTTTGTGATTTCGGGTCTTACATTCTGATCATTATTTTCAATTAAATTTTCTATGTAGTGTGTGTTAGTTTCATTCTTTTGCATGTGACTATGCCCTTTTTCCAGCACCAGTTATTGAAGAGACTTTCCTTGCTTCATTTTATGCTCCTGATCATTTTTCATAAATAGTTGTCCATATATATGTAGGTTTATTTATGAACTTTCAATTTGGGTGTCTATATTTTCCAAATTTTCTATAATAATAATTCTTTAGTAATGGACTTTTATATATAAGAGAGAAAAAAATAAGATTGGAAAATATGTTCTCTGGGACTATGTTTTGACATTAATATTTATATTCACAGTATATGTTCAATCTATGTTGTGAATTTTTCTTTGCATAACATTTCCTTCTATGCTAATATTTCTAACTTACAATAAAATCTTCAGATGCTAATGACTTTTTCAAAAATATTTCTTTGTTCTGTATTTTCTATACAATTTTATAATACATTATTCATTCATTTTGGATAATAATCTTATGAGTTAAATTTTTCCTGTTCAGAAATGAGGAAAAAGTAAATCTCTCCATTGCTATTTTCCTGATTTGTAGTTTAGTACAGCTTTTAACTCTGCTTTAATTTAAAATTAAACAGAATATGAGAATTAAGCTTCCACTTAATTGAATCATAAAGTTCAGAAAGCATTTTCACATCCTATGTCCTGTGGTGATTATGACTCACTATGCTGTTTATCTCTGTTTTCAAAAATAAAAGAAAATTTCAAAGTAGAATTATTTGTAGCTAAATTAAAAAGCCAAACAATCTCACCTAAGAATTTATTGTTTTTGTCTATTAAGATATCTCACAGGGGCCTCCCCGGTGGCGCAGCAGTTGAGCACTGGGTTGAGAAACTGCCTGCAGCTTCTGCAGTGGCGGTTCGATCCCTGGCCACCGAGTGAGGGTCCCACATGGCGTGCAGACCTCTCCTGCCGCCCGCTGCTCCCCTCAGCAGTGTATTTCGTCCTTCTGTCTGTTCTGCTCCCTGCTTTGGCTCTGGTGAATTCTCTCACCCTCCCGAGCTTCTGACTGTACCCAGTGCTTGTATAAATAAATAAGTAAATCTTTAAAAAAAAAAAAAAGATATCTCACACACTTTAGGTCTGCTTCTTCAGTTAACAATTTCACCTTCTATAAATAATACAAAAACAGTGTTGAGACCATTGATTTCTCCCATAGACTGAAGATGGTAGTCCAGTTGTTGAAGGAATGTTGGATATTTTCTGGGGCGTTAAACGACCAATACAACTGAAAATACAAGATGAGAAACACATCCCTATGTTGAAGTCACCAGATGTCTTTTCCAAAGGGTAAGCTCTCCTTCATGTTCTTAATTTGTTAGAAGGTAATCTTCATATTCACCTTTATTATACACTCCTTTACCTTTATTGGGAGTGCTACTAACTGGTTATACATGGTCTTATTTAATTTCCCAGCAACTCTGTGAATTATGTGTTCAGAAACCAGGGCTCTAACTGGTGAGGTAATTTGTGCAAGATTCTCAGTTATCAAGTGGAAGGAGTGAGCTGTACCTCCTGTCTAGGGCTCCAGAGCCTACTGCTTCTCTCCTAGGAAAAGCCCTAGACAGCTTTCCTCCATTAGAAAAAGGCATGATGAAATGCAAAATTTCATTAGCTCTCGCCTGGTTACAAATAAGGGAGGATAAAATTTAAGCTTCTCCCTCCTTGTAAAACAAACAGCTCTTCCTACTTTCTGGAGACTTTATTCTATATGATTGTCCTGATTATGTTTAGCAGGACACAGAAAAATGCATTTGATGCTCAATAAATGCATCAAACAGTTCTCTGTGTAGTTGTGTTAAATTTTTTCCCCTTTCAATTGTTAGAAAAAGTAATATTCACAGACGGAATAATAGGAATAATTTTTTTTGTTTTCTTCATTTCTGCCTTTTCCCATTTTAATCTCTCTCTCTCTCTCTCTCTCTCTCTCTCTCTCTCTCTCTCTCTCTCTCATTCTCTCTCTCTCTTTCTCTATTAGTTTTGATTAATTAGCCAAGAATCCTTTGTGGGAACCAGCTGTACCCTCAGCAGGAAGGTGAAGCATATTCGGATGGCTGGTCCCTTGTCTCTGGATTCCTAGCAGGTTACATAGGCAGTTAAGGTGCGACTCTGTTTTAATCCAAGCCTAGGCACCCATTTTGGCTTCCATTTTTAAGGTGACCTACATTAAAATTCTGACCTTTAAATGTAGTGGTATAAAGAAATGGACTATTCCCTCATTCTGTAAAAACTTCTCTCATGTCGCCTTCCCCATACTGGATTTCTGTGGGAACAACCTCTACTTCTGCTTTTACAAGATCACAGATTTGATGTCTCCAGCAAGAGGATGCAGAGTAAAGGATGTGAAAGTTCTATACTTAGCTGCTGGAAGGGCTGTACTTTTGTGTCTTTCAGTACACCCTTTGAATCTTCAGTTTGTTGTGGTAACTTTAGTTATCTTTGAAATGAGTCACACTGAGTCAGTTTAATAGGAGTGGTAGAGCTTAAAATTGAATCAGTTTGTTTATGATGTGACCACTTGGGATCTTTTATAGAAGCAATTCTGTAGGCAGACCTTGATCCCTCATACCTGGTTCAAGTATTTTGCTTTGGAAATTATTCACACAAAAAAAATAAACAGCCTTATTGAGGTTTTGTATGCATGTACCAGTTTTCATTTCTGTTTGTAAGGTCTTTTCAAAGTCTGCTTTGGAACATTTTGTGCAACTCATGGGAGGAAGAAGGACATTATAGAAACTGGACAGGTGTACATTTGAATACCATCAATAGTCTTTTGCCTTTCTTATAGGACAGGTAGAGAAGTGACCCCATTCTATGTGACCACATTCTATTTGTATATCAAATTTCTACTTCCTTTTTATTTTGCAACTCATTAGAAAACTTCCCTTTAGCTTAAATTTGCTAATGGCATACATCCTGAAACTTGGTCAGAGCAATACAAATAATCCCCGCTGAGGCACGTAGAACTATTTGACATTACGTAAAGTTCTCACCAATTACTTTTGAAAACTGAGAGGAACTACCCACAAGCTTAAGCATGTTCACGGTTGTATGGTAGCACTTCAGGTTACATAATCCAGAGCTGCCTTCTGCTCTGATGGTAGAGTGGCAACAACTCCACACACTCTCTTTTGAATGTGTTTGTCTCCCTATATTTATGTGATGCCACTGAACTGTAAGAGGGTGAAATCAGTGTCAAATCTCCCAAATCATGGCACCACTAGTCTGGCTTTCTTGAGCATGCTCAACTTTCCCCATAAAAAAAGTATCAAGTTGCTTTGCCTTTTCAGTTTTTGCCTTTTGTTGATATTTTGTCTACACCATCGTTCCTGTGATAAATCTCACTTATTTACTTCATAGAATTATTGAGAGTCAGTATTATAAAAGTTGTCAAAAGACTTCAAAGGAATTCAGAGATCAAGGAAGAAAAGGATCATGTTTATTCATATTTGCTACCACTAGTATTGATAAGCATGTTTGTACTACCAATGATACTGGGTACACTATCACTGCAAATTCCCTATGGATGAGTATTTGTAGTTATAAGGAAGATAGATACATGATATGAAGGAGACCCTTAGGAGAACTAACACTGTCCCAGCTAAAGTATCCTTTAACCTAGAGAGATTCAGGAATATCTTGTATCTCTAAAGGTTTCTGACTCATTATAAAATGGATACAGATGGTGGTATTTATGATGAGGATAACAATGAAGATGAGGATGACTGTGATAATTTTTAACACATATTAATTACTTTGTATTCATTGGGTACTGTCTCAAGAATTTTATACAAATTAGCTCATTTAATCCTCTCAACAACTTTATCCTACCTCATGCAATTATTGTCCCCATTTTATGGACAGGGACACTAAGGCACAGAGAAGATAAGTAACTTATCCAAGGCCATATAAATAGAGATGAGTGTTGGTCTAGCTGATAAAAATAAGTAGTTGTTTGGTTTTATTTATTGTGTGCATTAGCATGTGTTGAAAATGGTTAGTAGCCTATAAAAGATAACTCTCATACTCTATCTTCCTTTGTAGATTGCTTTCTGCATAGTAGATATGCAGCATATCTTATTAATTTAGAGCTACTCTAGCTAACAATGCTTTGAATACAAAAAGGAACCCAATGCATATTAGCAAACAAAGGTTTTTGTATCCATACTCTAAGAGCATTGTGGAAAATCTGAACATGGCTTTATATTGGTTTCTACTATTTCTGTTTACATACGTTTTACAGAATCATCTAACCGTGCTTTTTAGCTTGTAACTGATTCATTGTATCAAGATATGTTCGAATAAAGTATTTATTTATTTATTAAATATTTATTTATTTATGCATACAAGAACTGAGTGTCGGGTCAGAGGTGTGGGGGGGTGAGAGGATTCACCAGAGACAGAGTGGGAAACAGAACAGGCAGATTGACTGAAGCACACTGCTGAGAGGAGCACCGGGCAAGACAGGAGAAGTCTGCTGTGCCATATGGGTAGCATCCTGGCTGGGGATCGAGCTTCATAGTGCTGAGATTTAATCCCTTGCACCACCAGGGAGACCCTAAATAAAGTATTTAAAACCCATGCTGACCATTCTGCTATAAATATAATTTTAATAATATCATAAAATTGTTATAATTTAAGGTGCTATGTCTGCCTACATAGGTCCACAGTGCTTTATTAATACTATAAATCTGAAAATGATCATAAGCCTCATCATGTATGCCATTTACAAAATGTTTTACTTTTCAGGAGAATGACACGCTGGGGGGAATTTGATGATCTTTATCACATCAGTGATTTGGACAGGACCCAGATTCCAGTGTCTGAAGCAACAAATTCCCAGGAAGGTTAGTATCAAACTCTTATTAATGGGGAGACATTTTTTAATTAATGTGAAACATGAATCTAAAATGTTTCTCTGAAATTTAATATTTTACAGAAACTGCTTAATAGTATATTTATATCTTTATAGTTTCTTAGGAACACACTCACTTAGGCCACTACAGTATTGCTATGATGTTTAAGAACTACTTTGCTATATAAAGGTATGATTTCCTTAAATTACAAGTCACTGATCTACTAGCTTAGGAAAAACTAATGGTTTAAATAAAGTTTATAGACATAAAATTGTTCAATATTTTCCCCAAAGATTAGGATCATTTATTATACTCAGTAGCTTGTTTTGTTAGACCAAGACTCTCAGTTAATTTTTCTTTCATTTATTTTAGGCAGAAAGGTCAGTTTTTTTTGTTTAACTGAAGTTTTATACCACTGTAGGGAGCTATTTACTGTCAAAGCTTCCCAAACACAGCCTCAGGTCACCCTTGCAAGCCTTTCTTCTCTACACAAGAGCTGAGCACATCCATTTTATTCAATAACTATTTGTGTAAACTGTACTAAATGAACCAAGACACTCAGTGGAACAATGTTTACATTAGTAAACAAAATAAATTCAACTCTCAAAATCTTATATAACTTAAAATGCAACTACAATGCCAGGTACAAATGTATACATTCATCTCATAGATATTTTTGTGAACACTTAATACTGTACTGTGCTTTGTGTTGGATTCTGCAAATACAAAGATCAGTAAAACAATCTCTTTCTTACCAAGCAGATTCATTGAGGTGGGGAAAATAGATGAATAAATAACTACTTAGAACTAACTATAACCAATGTAAAATAAATAATACTAGCAATACTGATTGCCTATTAATAAGTATCATCACTTTTTATCAAATTAAATTTCTCAGTAGTCTTAGGCTTCCAATATTTAAGTGTTTTAAAAAAGCACTTAAAAGTGTCAACATAATCCTCAAACTTTATTTGTGGTTCTGCTTATGATAGTATGTTAAATAAGACACTATGAAGACTCTTATTGCTACAAAACAACTGTATCCACTATAAACCATGTTTTTAATATTTTGTTTTCAGAAATTAAGGGAAAATATTAAGTCTTCTCCATAAAAACAAGCTAATATACCAGTAAAATCCTGAGACCAAGGCAGAAGGTTTTGAATTAAAAGCAAACATGAAAACTGGTCTGATCTGGGGGATTAGTTAACTCTGTGTCAGGGACTATGCCTCAGACCTACTGCAAAGTAGGAGAACTGGGGCGGGGGGACTGGAAAAGTGTTTTGGGGGCGTGATGGTAAGGAGGGAAAAAGAGAAGGCAAGATAAGATCCACAGATTTCAACAGAGTCCCACTGGAGTTGGTTTTTAAAACAAATCAAGATCCACTGAACTAGAGGTTTATCCTAAAGAGACTATTTTAAGAATCCAAGTGTTAGATGCTGATCTTGAAGCACCAGGGAACTGAGTAGAAATCATGAAGTTAGGTGCCATTTCAAAGGTCAAGGGAAAAATTCACTACATTTGAAAGATTAGGAGAAGATTCAGCACTGGTAATTGCATAAAAATGATTTTGTTTTGTTTTGTTTTGTTTTTAAGATTTATTTATTCATTTATACAAGTACTGGGTACAGTCACAAGCACGGGAGGGTGAGAGAATTCACCAGAGCCAGAGCAGGGAGCAGAGCAGGCAGAAGGACAGAAGTACACTGCTGAGGGGAGCAGCGGGTGGCAGGAGAGGTCTGCGCGCCATGTGGGACCCTCCTCCGGTGGCCGGGGAGCAGTCGGGGATCGAACCGGCGCTGCAGAGGCTGTGGTCAGCTTCGCAACCCAGCGCTCAACCGCTGGGCCACCGGGGAAGCCCTGCATAGAAATAATTGTTTCTCAAAAAAACAATACATTTATCTGTATGGATATAATAAATAAAACACATCTCCTCATTCTTCAATTTAACTTACTAAAGATATTGCATAAATGTGAGCAATCATACATGATTTTAATAACCTCTATATTCCCATTCTGTCTTTTTAATTCATCAATAAATGCATTTTACTCGATAAATATTTATATAACATTGCTTCTCAGAAGAGGCAGAGATATTCGAGTCACTCTATTTTTGTTTTTTTTTTTAAGGTTTTTTTTTTTTTTAAAGATTTATTTATTTTTATTTATTTATACAAGCACTGGGTACAGTCAGAAGCACGGGAGGGTGAGAGAATTCACCAGAGCCAGAGCGGGGAGCAGAGCAGGCAGAAGGACCGAAGTACACTGCTGAGGGGAGCAGCGGGCGGCAGGAGAGGTCTGCACGCCATGTGGGACCCTCCTCCGGTGGCTGGGGAGCAGCCGGGGATCGAACCGGCGCCGCAGAGGCCGCGGGCAGCTTCGCAACCCAGCGCTCAACCGCTGCGCCACCGGGAGGCCCTCGAGTCACTCTATTTGATGGAGTTGTTTCAGTCATTTACCTAAAAGAGAAATCTGCTTGAACAGCATGTATCGAATTTAGCCAACCAATGAAAAATGCTAGTTCCTATGATATGTGACATTCATAGTTGTACCAATGATGGTGTTAGAATGATAATGAAATTACAAGTGTTGTTGCTAAAAGTCTAAATATGAGGCATGGAATCTTGTATTTTACATGGATTTACAAGTTGATTTTCACATAAATTATACCAGCCCAGGAGCTGCTGATTATTGAGATGAGGGTGAGGGGTCATGTTCCTGGGGTGTGATATTACCAAGCTGGGCTCAGACTGAGCTAGGGTATCCGGCTGACTTTACGTTCATGAGCCTACAACTTCCAATGTTTTGTTATTTTTTTCGATCTCCTACACTGTCTTTACAACAATGTAGATTCTATAACATGATGTTCCTTCCAATATTCCCTTATTGTCTTATGGCCTTTTGACATCTCTTATATAATAGTCCTTCCCATTAATCCTTTGAAAATACTCATCAAAACGCAGGGAAATGCCAATATTTTGACACCAAACATAACATAAAAATCTATTTGTATTTATTAAGCTCTACTACTGGAGAAAGATGAACTATCTTGTGCTTACTTGATGATACACAAATTACAACAGAAAATTATTAAAAGTCTGAATAAAGTGGAACACAAATGCCACCAGAGGACTCTAGTCTTACGAACATTGTTGTTTTCTCAAAGTTTAAAATCATTATTATCCATTGTTTAGTTACATATTTACTTGTTAAACACCTTACATAAATCCACCCAGGATGTAAAGAGGTGGGCAGCTGAATGACACTGGTTTATAATCTTTATTCTTCCCAGATTATTTATTTTATCACAGCAACACTCTCAAGCCTATTGCAGAACAAGAGCCAGAATCCCCATTGCTCTATAGAACCATGAGTGAAGCAACCCTGGTGGGAAAAAGGATGAAGCCTATAATCATGGGCAGAAAAGACAAACAGAACCATAGGGCCTCTATTAATGGACATTTTTACAACCATGAAGTGAGTATAATCCCATTGTCATTTCAAATAGTATCCCTTTTGCTAACGATACTGCTCAATCCAGCTTGCATTTAAAAATCGTAGTAGTATAGGGTCTCACTGGTGGCACAGGCGGTTGAGCACCACACTGTGAAGCTGTCCACACCTCTGCAGCTCAGATTCAATCCCTGCCGGCAGGCGAGAATCCCACATGGCGCAGCAAATCTCTCCTGTCTCGCCGGCTGCTCCCCTCAGCAGTGTATTTCGTCAGTCTGCCTGTTCTGTTCCGCGCTCTGTCTCTGGTGAATCCTCTCACCCTCCCGCGAATCTGGCCTGTACCCAAGTTCTTGTATAAAAATAAATAAATCTTAAAAAAAAATCATGGTAGTATACATAATGCTCATTGATTCCTCTATAGGTTGAATATTAAGCTATTGATTTTTTAATGAATTACCATTATTCACTAAAACAATCCTACGAAGTAGGCACACTAGTTGCCCAACTTTAAATATGAGTTGAGGTTAACAGAGGTTCAGCAATTTGTTTTAGGTCACACTGCTTTTAAGTAGCAACTCTGAAACTGAACCCAGACTTGTCTGACTCCATAATCCAAGTTTTTAACCAACAACCAACAAAATGGGTGAACTCTAAGTGACAGACCCTGTGCCAACCATTGGAAACATAAAGATGACTCATTTGATATATCTGCCGTGGAGCAGATGTGTCTACCATGGAGCTCAGGGCTTGGGTAAAAAATGCAATGTAACGGCAAATGGAATAAAGTAAGTGCTACAATTGATATTGGTTCAAAGTACCTTTGGGCATTAACATTTATTTATTCATTTTTTAAAGATTTATTTATACAAGCACTGGGTACAGTCAGAAGCGCGGGAGGGTAAGAGAATTCACCAGAGCCAGAGCAGGGAGCAGAACAGGCAGATAGATAGAGGACACTGCTGAGGGGAGCAGCAGGCGCTGCAGGAGAGGTCTGCGTGCCATGTGCTACCCTCGCCGGCAGCCCGGGATCGAACCAGCACTGCAGAGGCTGCGGGCAGCTTCTCAGCCCAGCACTCAACCACTGCTCTACCAGGGAGGCCCCCAGATATTAACATTTAAATAAAAGAATCAGTCTTTTTTGTCACAGTCCCTTTCAAGTCTCATACATTATATGCCTATCTTTTGATGCAAGTATAGCTGGTGAATAGATATAATTTGTATTCTGATGTTTCACTTAGTGTATGTTATATTTACATGTGCATTTGTATAGTATTTGTAAGACATTCCACTTTGCCAAAGATAAGAAAACCTTTTTTCTAGTGTCAAAAATTTTTCATGACATGTAATTTTACAATCATTCAACCATTCACTTAAATATTTTTTTTTAAAGATTTATTTTATTTTTGGGGCCTCCCCCGCGGCACAGCGGTTGAGCGCTGGGTTGCGAAGCTGCCCACAGCCTCTGCAGCACCGGTTCAATCCCCGGCTGCTCCCCGGCCACGGGAGGAGGGTCCCACATGGCGTGCAGACCTCTCCTGCTGCCCACTGCTCCCCTCAGCAGTGTACTTTGGTCCTTCTGCTGCTCTGCTCCCCGCTCTGGCTCTGGTGAATTCTCTCACCCTCCCGTGCTTCTGACTGTACCCAGTGCTTGTATAAATAAATAAATAAATCTTTAAAAAAAAAAAGATTTATTTTATTTTTTATTTATTTATACATACAAGAGCTGGGGTGTAGGCCAGAGGTGGGGGAGGGGAGGGAGAATGGTGGTGGGAGGATTCACCAGAGACAGCAGGGAGCAGAACAGGCAAATTTACTGAAATACACTGCTGAGGGAAGCAGCAGGCAAGACAGGAGAGGTCTGCTGCACCATGTAGGCTGCTCCCTGGACAGCCAGGGATCGAACTCATGTGCAGTGGCTGGGGATAGTTTGATAGCGTGGTCTTTAACCCCTGTACCACCAGGGAGACCCCCTCTTTTCTTTTTGATAATACCCACTCTAAGTGGGATGGAGTGATATTTGATTGTGGGTTTGATTTGTATTTTCCTTCATGATGTAATGATAAACACCTTTCAGTGCAACTGGCCGTCTGTATATCTTTTTTGGTGAAATGTTTATTTACTGATATTTGTACCTAACTTAGTCTAAAAACACAACAAAAACAGCAAAACAAGAAAATTTTTTAAGTTGATAATTCTATTTTTTTTTGCCCATAAAAAGGTCAGGTTCAGGATAACGACTCTTGTTTGTTTGATATAATTCTAAGGGCTTATATAACAATCCTTTTTTTTTCCCTAGACATCAATTTTCACTCCAGTCTTTGGTTCAGAAACTAAGGTCAGAATAAACAGTAACATGAGGACTGAAGAAGTAATAAAACAACTTCTAAAAAAATTTAAGGTAATCTTTATTTAAAATGATCTATATAAATATCTGGCATATAATTTAACTCTAGACACATATATGTCTGTGAACATATATGTCCTCTGAAATAGACCTACAAATATGTCAGTTAGTTCTGAAGACTCTTTCCTATGTATAACAACTTTCAGTAATTATGCCCTGAGAAATTATATAATTTCTGGGGATCAGGGAAGGTTTAACATCTGAAAGTGAAAAATGGAAGCTAATTCCACTAGTTTAGAAAGTATCTTATGACAACAAGGAATTAATATGTGTTCATTTATTCCACTGACAGATTGAAAATAGTGCCCAGGATTTTGCACTTTACATTATTTTTTCAACAGGAGGTAAGAAAGTTTGATCACCCTTTTTCCATGACTCCAGTGCATTATTGTTTGTTTTCTTACTACAGAAAGACAAAAAATAGTTCACCTCATTCTGTAGAAGAAAGGGATGAAGGGGAGAGGAAGGATGAGAGGGAGTGTTTTAGAATAACCTTAAGAATAAGGGATCTGGCCCTCCCCGGTGGCGCAGCGGTTGAGCGCTGGGTTGCAAAGCTGCCCGCAGCCTCTGAAGCTCTGGGTTCGATCCCCGGCTGCTCCCCGGCCACTGGAGGAGGGTCCCATATGGTGCGCAGACCTCTCCTGCCGCCCACTGCTCCCCTCAGCAGTGTACTTCGGTCCTTCTGCCTGTTCTGCTCCCCACTCTGGCTCTGCTGCTCCCCACTCTGGCTCTGGTGAATTCTCTCACCCTCCAGCGCTTCTGACTGTACCCAGTGCATGTATAAACAAAAAACAAACAAACAAACAAATGAATAAAACATGCCTCTATTTAAAAAAAAAAAAAGAATAAGGGATCCTAGGAGAGTTTATAATACAAAAGAACTTGTTAGCGAGACATTAAATTATCTGAATGGCTATCAGAGTCCTTGAGAACCCAGTGAGGGTTTCAGGAATTACTGGAATTTAAGTTTTCGCTGACTTTTGTACTTCTTCCGTTTTGGCTTTCCCGTCTCACCTCAGCTCTTACTGGAATCAATTGCTTACCGTTTCTCTCTGAACTTGTTACTGCATCTTTCTGAGCAATGTCCAACAAGCTGTTAGGGGCGTTACCTCCTCAGTAAACAAAACATTCATAACTTGGTGGTGGGAGTAAAGTATTAGATGTAGGATACTGGGAAGACACTAATGCAGGTTGGTAGGAGCAGGGAGTTAAAGAGAGATTAAAGAAAACCTAAGGCAAAGCCAAAATGAAATTTTTGTAAACCTTACAATTGAAAAAACGTAAATGTTTAATTTAGTAAAAATTAGGTTATAATTGTGTCATAATGTTTAAGCCCAGAAATTAAATAGAATAAAATAATACATTTTGATGCCAGAATATGAAAGCTGGGTCTCCAAATACACAAAATTAAAATCCGTATAAATTGAAAACCTTATGGAAGAAATATATAAATTTTTGAAAATTCTAGAAGATACACATATGTGTATATATATATATATATATATACATGTAAATACACAGCTCTAGGTATGTACATATATCTGTAATAGGTAGATTGTAAAGAATAGCAGATAAAAATCATTTACATTGTCAAAGATTTCTTGCATAATGGTAATAAAACGACAACCAATGCTACAAAAATAGAAAAAAGTATGATAAAGCAATTCAAAGAATCACAAATTAAAATAATCAGTAAACATGTTTAGGAAAAGCATTAAACTCAAGGAAATAAAGTATCCTGTGAAGTTCAATTTCAAGCTACAATGCAGATTATCTTGCATTTAGTCAGATTGGCAAAACATTTTTGAATGATTCTCTGTGGCTGCCATGGACAAAAGTAAAAAGATATTTTTATTCAATTCTGGTGAAAACATAATTGTCTGCTTTTTTGGAACTCATTTTAGCAATATTTACTATTTGCAGTATATATACTGCGAATAATATAATATATAATATATATATTACATATAATATATATAGCCTTTGGCCCAAACCATCCCCTAATAAGAATCAATTTTACAAAAACAACAACAATAAAAGACTTTTCCTAAAGGTTTTTGTTCAATGACAAAAATATAAAGACAAACTCACCCATTACAGGGGAAGGATTGAATATGTAATTATAATGCAGTCATTAAATTGAATGAGCTAGATTTATGCCTGTTGAAATGAGGGAATTCCATGTAATGCACGTATTAGATGAAAAGTGCAAGATGCCTAAAGATGTTTGTAATAAGCTCCCATTATCATGGCTGAAAGACTGAATGCCACAAATATGTGAAATAATAAAAATAACAACCTTCTAATATCAAAAACATTCTGATAAGGAAGAACCAAGGATTGACTATCAGGAGAGAGAGAAAGAATTGTGGATAATGACAAAGTTTTGGATCTGAGCAACTGGAAAGATTGAATCATATGAACCAAGCTAGGAAAGAATCAATATTTTTTGAATAAATGAGTGAAAAATTATAATAAAGGGCTTTAATGGGGCTGGAGATTTGTTAGAGCTCACTCACCAAAGGGAAGGTTGAATTCTCTGAGATATAGCTACAGTGAACCTTCGAGGATAGCAAAAGAAAGAAGTCCGTTTTTAGTTCATTTAACCATGTTTAACTCCAACTTACTTTTTAAGTGAATACCTCTGGTTAGGTTTTGGTGTTTTGAATTAGATCTTTCAAAAAAAACTAAAGAAAGAAAATAAATGCATAAGTTAATCATTCTTTTTCTCTAGAATGGACTCCTGATTGAAGTTGATCTTGTTTTCATTCGTAGAGCAGAAACGACTGAAGAAGACAGACATTCCACTCCTGCACAGGCTGATCCAGGGACCTTCCAAAATGAATGCCCGCATTTTCCTCATGGATAAAGATGCAGAAGAAATTAGCAGTGATGTATGAATTCCAGCATCCTTAATCTGCCTTTGCTTCCTCCCAACTCAGCACCTCTCACGTAAATGCTCTGCTTTCTTTCATGTTTCATTTTGTTTTCTTTTTTCTTCTCAGGTGGCTCAGTACATTAACTTTCATTTTTCTCTACTGGAAGCAATCCTTCAAAGATTAAATGAAGAAGAAAGAAGAGAGATTCAAAAAACAAAATTAAAGTAAGTCAATAGCATGCAACCTGAGTTGTTGGTCCTTTTAATGTAAAAAATATGTCCATTTTTTAATACTCTTTTTCCCCTTCTCTTTTGCAGATTCTCAAATGAAAAGGCTTTTATACTGCATTGTCTTCAAAGAAAATATATAGTAAAAACAGAGACGACAGTTTAGCTGTACAGCTCATTATTGCTGAAACACTTCAAAACTAGAGATGTTAACTATTTAATTAGTGTATACATTCTATACTTGAACTTGAATCTACAGAAAGTTGAATGCTGAAATACATAGGTGAACTAAAATCTGTAGAAAAGTGAATGTTGAAAAGGCTTGTCTCTCTTTGAAGTAATAGCATTAACTAGGGTTCAGAGTTGGACTGAAATGAGCTGGCATTTATTTCAGTAACTGAAATAAGCTTGGATACCATGTATTCCAAATAATTTTTATAGTAAAATGCTCAATGAACTTGAATGGCAACTTCATATATCCAAACAGTTTAAACTTCTTTTAGCTTGAACTGTGAAAAGAACTGAAATATGATCAACCAACGCTCAGAAATGATTCAAAAGTAAAAAAAGCTGCAAACTCTTAAAAAGTACATGCTCTCCTCTCTGATGGTGACAGATATTTTACAGTTCCTCGAAAATTCTAGCATTTTCATTAAATCTAGGTCTCTATATGGATAGGGAACTATTGGTCATCTGTAACATCAGAGTTCTCTGCCTTTTGGGATAGAAAATGTTATAGATTCTGTTAAGCAATTCAAACTGTAGTTTTCTCAATATGGGTCCTTTTTTCAAATGTGCTCTTAAGCATTTTTTTTTGATCAGTTGAACTAGTTTTATTTTCATAAACATATATACCACAGAATTCAATGAAGATGGTGTAATTGTAGCAACTAGTTTTATTTTCCCAAATACATGTATCATTTAATATATTTCACCAACTAGGACAAGACTTGGGCCTCAGTAATCATTTGTTGCTGTATGTATAAGACAATGCAAAGTTATTATAGCTGAAGCTAGGCAAGGAATTAGGAGCTCTGTCCTTTTCTCTAGTATAACTCTTTCTAAGGACAACTCACAAGGTGCTTACAGTCTGCTAAACCAATTTGAAAAAACATTGAAAATGCCAGATATACCATTTGTGCTTTTATTTGTGAACTCTATATTAAAATGGAGTTTTATGCAACATTCTTCATATTCTCTTATGTGTTTCTCATAATCATTGTATTAAATTGTTTGATATTACATAGTTTGTATGTAATAAACTCGGAAGAATATAAAAATTAAAATAGGACTCATATTTAAGGCAAATATATTAATTGTCAGTGTCACTAAAACCTAAACTGAATAAAAGTTAAATTATGCTGTAATCATTTTCAGCTCTAGAAAGTCTTTTGAGTAAAACAGAGGTTTGCATCTTTATCCTTTTATCTATCAATTTTAGAAAATTAATCTTAAATATATGAAAATATACAAAATAAGTAAGAAAAATACCAAACTTTGGATTGGGTGGGGTAGAAGGATAAGTCAGATGGTATAAAAAGTAAAATCACAAAGAAATACAAATTCTTTATGTGAAAAATAAACAGAACAGTGATAAACTGTATTAGTCTGTGTCCAATCAGGAGACAGCAATCACATAATAATTTAAATGGGAAGTGTCATATAAGAATTATTAAGCTGCAATGGGAGAATAATAAAGATGGAAAGTGACATCAAAGGGATATCCTAAAGGTGAGGGAGAGTACCCAGAAAGGAAAATCTTAGAATGAGGGGTTCAGAATCTAGTGAAGATGGTGTGATGGTAGCCCAGTGGGTACAGCCTAGGGCAGGGTGGAACAACCCTGATTGGTGCAGCTGAGGTAGGAAGCAGATGGGCAGGGAGACTTAGGGTTTTGCGGTTTTGCTGGAGGTATAAGACCCAGATACCATAGTGTCTGTATGTGGAGGTCTGCAGTAAACAAAGTTGGGGGACCTCTCTAAGGACATACTAAGTTGAGAAGGTGGAGAGAAGAGTGACTTGAGCTAGGGCAGAGGCCAGCACTGGGGCTCTATGCAATGCCATCACACACTAAATCAAAAGTTGAATAAGAGGATAGAGAACAACTACTAGAAAACACAACATCCTATAAGCACTAACACTGGATAAGCTACTCAGAGCAGAGCAGTGGAGGAAAAGTCAGCTTCCCAGGAGCCCTCTTAGAATCTAGAAAGAGCAACTTCCTTCTATAATGCTTCTCTGGCGCCCTCTACTGTGAAAAACATGACATCATGCAAGCTGTCAGCTGCATGAATTTAAAGCTGAGAGGCAGTAAGATAACTGGCATATTGACAAAACACAAAGCTAATTGACATATACTTTTTAGTCTATTACATTAGCAAATATTAAGAAATTATTGAATCTTAATATTTAAGAAATTTGTTGTGTACACAACAAATTACAATGAGATGAGCATCAAACTACTGTGAATAATACAAATGGATATAACTTTTCTTGAAAGCAATTTAGTAGTAAATTCATCCTATAATTTCACTTGTAGGATCTTCGAGATAAAATAATCAGAAATAAAATAATCAGAGATAAAAAGACATTATGCAAAGATAATTATTTTGATAAAAAAAATTCTTTTTCCCTATTATAGCTTAAATGTCCAAAAACTTCAAAATTTAAACACGGAAAGAAACAGTTATCAGGGCCTCCCTGGTGGCTCAAGGGGCGTCACTGCAGCACAAGTTTGAGCCCAGCCAGGTAGCTACCCACATGGTGCAGCAGAACTCTCCAGTCTCACCCTCTGCTCCCCTCTGCACTGTATTTCACTCAATCTGCCTGTTCCACTCCCCACTCTGTCTCTGGTGAATCCTCTCACCACCCACCCACCCCCACACCTCTGGCCTATACCCCAGCTCTTCTATGCATAAATATATAAAATAAATCTTTAAAAAAAGTTATCATTAGAATGTTACGAAGGTATTAGAATTTTCTACATAAATTTAATTTTAGGAGTAAATTATAATTATACACTGAAATAAGAATGTATACACAAATATCTCAAAATATTTATTAACCATGAAATGTTTTCCTATATGTGTATACTGGTATTTGTACATACATACTAAACAATAAAAAAAATGTTAATGTGGTAATAGAATTATGGGTGATTCATGTTTTATCCTATACTTATTAAATATTCTAAATAAACATGTTAGTTTTTAAATCAGGAAACAGAAAAATTTTGATTAAAAAGTTACCAGAAAAATGTCAGTAAGTGCAAGCACAGAATTCTACTACATGCAAAAAGTTTTTAAAATGAGATACTATTATCATTTCTGTTATAGTTTCAAAATATACCCATGAAGTCTTTGACATGCCTCCTTTAAAGTGATGGAGTCTAATCTTTTTCACCTTGCATTAGTTACTCTATTCAAATGAATAGAATAAGACAGAAATGACAGCATGTGACTTTGGAAGCTAGGTCATAAAAGTTCCGTATCTTCTTTACACACTGTCTTTGATCACTGGCCTTGGGAGACCCAACTTCCATGCCCTGAGCAGCCCTGGTAAAAAGTCTACATAACAGAAATGGAATTAAAGAGAAGACTCTGAAAACCTAGCTAAACTATTCCTGCATTTTTGATCTTTACATACTATGTGAGATAAATGTTTGTTATGGTATTCTGCTAAATTCATTGTAATTTGTTATATAGTAATAGATAACTACTACAACTTCTGAAACAAATATGTTCGCTTTAGATTCATCTTTGCATAGCACAGAACTATAAACTTTTGTCACAAAACCATTTATCCTTGTTTTAGGTGGTCCAAATATTTCACTACCAGTTATATTAGTTCAATTCTAGACAATATGTTATACTTATTAATGGTAGGGGTACTGTAGCATTCGTCTTTGTATTTTGCTATACTCAATAGTGTCTATGTACAGATGTGTATAATAAAAATCAGTTGGATAAAGGACTGAATTAGTGAATGTATGATAAAATAATATGTAGAATTATCTGAAATATTTTAATTTTATATATGTATATATTTTACAAATCTGATCCATTGCTGATAAAATGTGGAATCTTTTCCATATGCTTTTCCCTAATACAATAGTATATTTTATTATCTGTTAACTATGTAAAATATTTAATTATGTTACTATGGAATTTTTAGAGCTATTTATACTGCTTTTAGGAATAGCAGAGGTTCAAGAGGTCCATTTGCAAGGCAGTTGATAAAGTACAAAAGATGGAAAGAGTAACTATTTTCTTGACATCTACTTGCAAAAGGAAAGAGAAGAATAGGATGCCATTAGACAACATCCTTCAATTGCTTCCATTTGTCTTCTAAATTAATAATAGCTATCTATTAGATATTAATATTTGAAATTGTGACTATTTGGCCTACAAAAGCAATAATTTTATATTGTTTAAACTAGTAGCTCTTACCATTTGCCAAGCACTAAAGCTTTATATGTATTAACTCAATGTTCATTACAGTTCCTTGAGGAAATTATTTTTTCAACCCAATTTTATCAATGAGGAAAACAAGCCATGGAGAGGTTAGGGGATTTGCTAAGGTCATTAGTAGATAAGTTAGGTAGGATTTGACTTATGACTCCAGTGTCCACCCTCTTAGCCACCATAGTCTTTGGCCTCATTCTAAACAACAGTCCTTTAATCTGGCTTTCCTTATATGTCCTCATTTGTAAAGTGTGAGTGATAGAATCTACCTCTTAGATGGCTGTGGAAATCATAGGAATAATAGTTGTGCAAGCTGATACTTTGCAAGAAAGTGTGATAAATATTAGCTGTTAAAACTAAACTACAATATGTTCCCACCCACCATTGTAGCCTTATTCTTCACTAAGTCCTACAGCCCACAACTACTTAATTCTTCTCTTGAAATCAGCCAAATTGAATCACTCGCTACCACATCTCTATCTGTTGTAATCTTGCCCATTTTCTGGTCTTTGGCCAGGGCACTATTTTTATGAGTTTTCTTGGTCTCTATGACAATGAATAATTTCAGACTCCTGTGCCTCTCAGTTTGCTTTGCTCTTGTGACAGTAGAAAGTTGAAATTTGGCTTTATTATACATTTTTAAATAGGATGCAAGATTCAAATAACAACTGATTTTTACATCTTCCTACAAGATAGCTCTGAGTTGACTTTGTAGAATCACAGGATTGTGTTAAATTTATAAGTAGAGCTTCTCTTTTTTTTACAAAAATTGAGAATATTAGAAACCAACTTCCTTTAGTTAACTGGAAATGTTTGAAATTAACTGGATATATTATTTCTACACATACAACTTACTTAAATAATTGAGGCTAAACTCAGAGATTGGGAGTGGTAACACGATCTTTGGTTTTCGCTATGAATAACCTCTTTATAAATTTCTCTTATTAAACTATGAATATATTTCATAGCAATAATTATTTCATTTGACAGAATTCCTTTGGGAAATTATTTTTTTTTCTCAGTTTTAAAGTATAATTTGGTGAATAGAAGTATAAGACATTTAAAGTGTACAACATGGGTCTCCCTGGTGGTACAAAGGGTTAAGCACAGCACTGTGAAGCTATCTGCAGCCACTGCAGCATGAATTCTATCCCCGGCTGGCTGGCCAGGGAGCTACCCACATGGCACAGCAGACCTCTCCTGTCTTGCCCACTGCTCTCCTCAGCAGTGTATTTCAGTCAGTTTGTCTGTTCTCTTCCCCACTCTGTCTCTGCTGAATCCTCTCAACACCCTGCACCTCTGGCCTGTACCCTAGTGGGTATGCATGAATAAAAATAAAACAAAATGAAGTATACAACATGGTTTGAAATATCTACATATTGTGAAAGGATTACCCTCAATTTAATTAAGATGTAATTTGGTATTTATTTTTATTTTACATTTAAAATTTTTATTTTTATTATTATTTAAATCTATTAATATTAATTTACAACACTGTATGTGATTCAGAGGTATAGGCTCAACCTCTTTAAATGTATGTTTCCACACCACTACCCCATAGCCCCCTCACCTTCAAACAGTCCATTGGACTCCCTCCTCATTTTCCTTTCCACCTTCCTGCTCCCTTCTAGCATTCTCAATTTTGCAGTCAGATTTTGAGGATTTGCTTTTTTTTTTTTTGACGCTTTGTTTTGTTTCTCTATATTTCACATATGAATGAAACAATCTGGAATTTTCTTAGACATGGAATTTTTTAGATATTGTAGTGTTTTGTTGTTGTTTTTTCTAGAATTTTGGTTTGGATCTATAAACTGAAAAGAAATCTGTATTCAATTTAAATTTTTAAAAAATCTAATGTATAGAAATGTATGTATGTATGTGTTGTGTGTATGTATGTATGTGTTGAAATGTATGTATGTATGTGTTGAAATGTATGTATGTTGAAATGTATGTATGTATGTGTTGAAATCACTGAAATTAGGAAAACCTAAAATCAAGTAAAGAGCATTTCAATAAGAATTACATGTTGGCCAGATTTCTCTAATCAAAATTATTTAGTATTAAGATATTATTGCCTGTTTTTAAGTATCTCATTACACAAAAAAAATCTGAAAATAGAAAAATAAATCCAAATGATAAATTCATTGTATCATTTATTCCAGGACTTCCAAAGGGAAGACTTACAAATCATCACTGAAAGCTCAAATTAAGATAACTATATTGGAACCCCATAGTTCCAAGGTCAATCACATATTTAGGGCAAAGATTAAAGGAAAAACTGTGTGAAGTTGTTTATCATAAAGCACATTTTATTCAGTTCATCAATAATAATTGTCAGTACAATATAAAGAAAAGGAGCACTCAGTGCCTTTTTCACTGTGGAAACCCACAGCCAGTTCCCAGCTAGACATGGAAGCCCATTCCATCAACCTGAGGTTTTTGTAAAGCTTTTGTTGTTGCTTCTGAAAAGGAGAAAGTTTGTAGGTGGGGGTGGGGAAGAAAATGGAAATGAAATGAGTTGTTTAAGGGTTACAATAAAATTTCTCTACTGGTGTTCTTGAGTAATATTGTGAGAAGCTGAAACATTTTGTTGATTCTTATTTTCAGTGTTAGACATGTGTTTCAAAATTCTTGAAAAATAAGATGAGGATTTCAGCAAAAATCCAATATTGACATTTTCTGTGATCATTTAGCCTCCCAAGAGAGATTGGCATTTTTCAATCAGTTTGGACTCCTAGGAGAAAAAGCAAAGTATATCTGTGAGAAAGATAAATAAGGAAAAACACTCAACAGCTATAGTAAATCCTCAAGATTTTCCTGTGGTATGCCTGAGATGGCTCTAATGTTCCAACTCCCAGAATTTCCCATAGGACTAATTCTTTAGTTTAAGGACTTAATTAACTGCAGAGCTTCTCCCACTTTCAGGATCCCAGAATTGAAATAAATAAATAATTTCTTCCTTCTCATAAAGTATGTGAGATTCTCTGCCACAGGATTAAAAAATGAGCCATCGACAGCAATGTCTCCTTGAATTTTAAAACTGTTGTAGCTAATCATTACATAATCAGGTTCATAAACTCAAGATAAGCTCTAATATAGAAGAGTATCTCCACCCCCTTCACTTATACTGCTACAGAATTCTACATGAATTTCAGTCATTTTCCCTAATTTTTACTTGTATTGTCTTCATTCAAATAAAAATTATTTGTGAAAACTCAAGTAGGTAAAAGTGAAAACTTCTTTAGGTAAGTGGGGCTAGAACTGTACAACTCTGCAGCTAAGGTATGTACACACACACACGCACACACACACACACAGGGGTAGATGTCTTGCTCTCCTAAGAGCCCCAAAGAAATGCTGAGAAGTCTATTAATTTAGTCCTTCCTCCTATCCTCAAACAGTACTGTAACTAACCTATCTAATGAGACTGGAATCTTTTTTTTTTTTTTTAATACTTCTGGAATGTAAGGTATCTTTCTTCCTTGGTAAAATCTATGTGTATGGGAAATTTTCCCATAGACTTAACCTCATTTATTAAGTAATCCCTTGGCAACTTTCTAATATGTTATAATAAATGTGGGGGAAAACAGTGTCCTTAAGGTAGAAGGAAGGTATCAAGAACACTATTATAATAGTAAGAAATGTGCTTCATGAAATAAGAAGGAATGTTTACTCCACATCCTCAGGTAAGACCCAAGAAAGATTTTATTATGTTGGTGGTGCAAGGGGTTAAGCACCGCACTATGAAGCAATTTGCAGCCTCTGCAGCACAAATTCAATCTCCGGCCAGCCAGGGAGGAACCCACATGGCACAGCAGACCTATCCTGTCTCGCCTGCTGCTCCCCTCAGCAGTGTATTTCAGTCAATCTGCCTGTTCTGTTCCCCTCTCTGTCTCTGGTGAATCCTCTCACCCCACTCTGTATTTCTGGCCTGTACCCCGGCTCTTGTATGTATAAATAAATAAATCTTTAAAAAAAAAAAAAAACTCATGATGGAATGCCAAAAGCAGAGAAAAGAAAAATAAAAGATTTCCTTTACACTGAGACCAAATTAGCTACACTTTGATTTCCTATAAACTTGCTTAGTGGATTGTGACATCACCCATCCTATGGCTTCCATCTTTAAGTCACCAGTCTGTCTGTCTCTGTCCCTTGTGTCATGGTTTTCAATCCTTTTATTCCATTCTAGTTACTCTCTGAACATACCAACTTGCCAATATCCAGGTCAATTACCTCATGTGACCTCCTATAGTAACAATAGCAGTGAATTTTATATACTGAGGGGTCATGATTAACAAAACAACACAAGTTTAATCAAGTGCAAGAGAAAATGATCTACCAAGAGATATGGTAGATCTGAGATGTGTGATGCTGCTGGGGTAGAACCCTGTGACATTAAGCTAGCTGCAGCATCGCCAGGATGGCACCATCACCATACAGGTAGTCTGCACATGACTGTATAGATGACCTAACCAGCAGATCAAGTTCTCAAATGAACTTATGTTATATCACATTTTAAAAGCAAAACTTCACTTTTTCATTAAATTTATTTTCTTACGTCATTGTTCATTTCTGTACAGTAATTTATTTCTCCCCTCAGTTATAGTCCTTGTAGTTCTCCCAACACCATAGCACCCATGATCCATCACCACAATCCCTTATGCTTTTCCCTCCCCTGTTTTGACCCCCGCCCCTTTCCCTCCCCTGCTGTGTGCCTCAGATCTATGGTCAACATGCAAGCTTTGTCTTTGCACTGACCCTCTGTTCAGTTTCTTATAATCCATACATAAATGAAACCATCCAATTTTTATCTCTTTCTTTCTGACTTATGATTTAGAGATTCCACTCCTAGGAACCTATCCAAGGAACACAAAAACCTGCACTCCTATGTTTATGGAAGCACTCTTCACAATAGCCAAGATATGGAAGCAACCCAAATGTTCCAAAACAGATGGCTGGATCAAGAAGATGTGGCATATACACACAATAGAATATTACTCAGTGATCAAAAAAGATTTAAGTCATGCCATTTGTAACATGGGTAGACCTGGAAGGGATTGCTGAGAGAACTTTACTTATTTTTATATTAAATGCCTTATGTTATTTTCAAGCCATAATTTCAGACTGTCCAAATTTCTGCTAGTTCACGTTAAACTTTTCTATACTCATATCCCATTGGTTGATAAATAAATATCTTAGGCCATAATTATTATTCTTCATTAACATAGAAGAGAGAATTTCTGTGAACAGAAATTTCTCTTTGACCCTACCAATGTTCACAATTCATGTTGTTATTTTGATAAGTGAGATGCCTCTTCTTTGGATGATCCAAATTTGCTCTGTATGACTGGGTTTCTCATTTTATTCCTTCTATGGAAGGAATAGTAAGGAGCCAGCTCTGAGCCATGCTGTCCTCAATAAACTCCAGCCCTGACACATTTACTGACTCCATTCCCATCTCCACGCTGAAGAGATTCAGGCACTGAAGACAACTCCAATAATGCTATGATGAAAAGCTGTGCAAGTAGTATTCATGCTCAGGAACAAAACCCTGGCAAGAAAATTCCCCTGGGGATTCACAAGCACAGCCTCCTTAGCAGAAGTGCTTGTGTGGATATAGGGTTGTACACAGGCTGAAGCATGTTTTCTGAAAGCTTTGCAAAAAGTCAAAAGGTTTTAAAGAAATAAATAGGCTGTATATAGGTGATTATTTTCTGTTGTTTAGCAGCTAGTCTGGGAGTTAGCAAACTTCTGTGAACAGCCAAATAGTAAATATTTGGGGCTTTGCAGTCTCTGTCACAACTGCTCAATCCTGCAACTGCTGCATTCAATTCCAGTGTTGTAGCCAGAGAAAGCAGACTGAGACAGCATGTAAATAAATGTGTATGGCAGAGAGCCAATAAAACTTTATTTACATAAACAGAAGGTGAAGCAGATTTAATCTGAGGCCTGTTGTTTGCCTCCCAATGACTAAACTAGAGATAAATTACTTTTCACATAAGCACATGTACAAGTTAGCTGAATAGGTAGAAAGGAGCCACTGATGGTAATTAATGCATTCATGAAAATTGTTACCTGTGAAAACATTTCCCAGAGCCACTGGCAAACTTAACCCCAGTCTTAACCAGACCCAGCCTGTTTGACGATGAAGGCTGCTTCTGTTTTATTTTTAACCACACTTGCATTCCTCTGTTCAGACACTATTACCTACAACGTCTGAGTTCATGATAGGGGTAGAAAAAGGGATTTTCTTGTAATAATCCTCTATTACTATTTTTTATCTTAGTAAATCCTAGCAGTGCTAAGAGAGGACACAGGAAATAGGAATACCTCTTTTTGGAAACACATTTCACTTTTCTCTGCTTCGCAGCACCTCTCCACCAGGTGAGTAAAATCCACAACAATTGATTGGAATTGCATCTCGGTAGCATGTGGTCTCTGCTTCACAAGGTTGCTGAGGAGCCTGAATCAGGAATGAGCAGCAAAAAATACAAGCAAGTTTGCAAACCCACCTTACTAATTTAGGCCTTTTCTCCCCTCCCACTCGTAAGTATAAAAGCCCTGAAAGTTCCCTGATGTTTTCACGACTCCGTACTCATTTTTCATGTTTTATTCTGCATGCTTCTTCAAGTACACCTGTAGGGTAAGTGAAGTGGTCAGGTTTTTATACCATTGGCCTCTGTGGCTATCACCTGCCGCCTTGAATGCAGAAAGCACTTGGGAGCGTGGGCCCAGTCACGCAGGCCTGAACGTGGACATCTGGAGCATGGTGTGGGCGTGTGTAAGCATGCCTGGAGGCTGAGCATATAAGGGCAGTGTCACTCACAGACAAGAACAGCTACAGCGGGGGACGGCTACGAGAAGACGAGGACTACAGAGAGGCAAGGCCACAAGATGTAGAGTAAGTAAAGTATCAGGCTTTTCTGCCCTCTGCCATTAGGATTAATGATGGAACCCTGCGGTCCTGAATGCATGCCCGATGGCGGGCACCTGGAGTAGGGTGTGGGCATACATAGATGGGTACACCTGGGCTGAGAGATTGGGCTTATAAAGGCGGCATCACGGGGACGCCAGCGGAACAACAGAGCAAAAGAGAGAAGAAGAACAAGTGAAAGAGCAGCCCCAGCAGAGAAGCATAGGCCATGAGAACGCTGGCGAGCCCAGGAAGAGAAAAGGCTCGCTGGGGGCTGGGTGGCCTGCCAGCCTCCCGGCCCCCACCCCCACCCCACACCCCTACCTGCCATGTACCTGGTAAAATCCCAATAAAAGCCTGAAAAATCCACCAAGGGCTCAAGATTCCTCCTTTACCCCTGTCTGCTCCATCATAAAGATCCTGCCCTGTGGCCTTCCCACTGCTACACAAGACAATGCCAGAAAGAGCCCAAAAAGAAAGCATAAAGATTCCCTGGGAGTTGGAAGACCTGCCAGCCTTCCCCCACCACCCCAATAGGTAGAGAACCTGCCCTGTACTTGCTGGCAAAACAACACTCTTTCAATATAATTATTACATTAAACTTAATGATATCTATGTAACTGGTACCAGTGTAAACATTTGTTCTACTATTTTCATTGCACTGGATGTTAAATAGGTTATATACTGAACTAAATAGTTTTGTCTGTAACATTTTGTTATGAACAGAGTTTATTCTAAACAAGTAATTTCCAAATAAATATGACAAGTATAACACAGCTGAAAGTTAGAGGTCCCAGATGTATTATTAAAGATAAAACCAATAAAATAATCTGAAACTTCAATGGCTTGAAAGGCATCTCAGATTTCCCTCACAGAACATTTACCCCAAAACTATATAAACACAGTGTTACAAACACTTGAATATTTAAAATTGTAGCCCGGTTTCTGTCTGTTTAAGAATAGTATTCCAACTCTTCAGTGTTGATGGTTAGAGGAAGATCTTTATTATAAACTGTTTTAGATCAAAGAGGTGTAACCACACACACAAAGGCATGAAGAAAATGCATATTTATGATATTTTACTCTTCCCCAAAACCTTTGCTTAGTCTTCATTTTCAAATTTATATTGATAATGCCTAGTAGCCTTACTTATGCCTTGAATAGACATAAAAGAAAATATATCCCAAAGCTCTTAGTTATTTCAATGAAAAACTAAACAAAACATCCAGCAACTATTTCAGATACTGTTTTAAACTCTATTGTTTTAAACTTTGCGTGCCAAGAGGCAAAGTACTCATGTTACAAAGCGAGCCGCTCCGCCCCTCGCTGCCCTGTTTGCCTGGAAAGGGCTGCCTCAGTGTTGGGCTCAGTTTGTGCCTGTTGCCATCAGCTCGAGAGGATGCAGAAAAGCAACCAGCCAAACAGAATCAGGCATACTGTTGTCAGTTTCATTTTGCTCTGGTGACATGCCCATTGCTTTCCCAGCTGTCTCAATGCAGGCAGGTGGCTACAGCCAGGCGTCTCACTGACACCTTGGTCCTAGATTGAGATGCCCCTTACCCTGCTGCCCTGTTATCACCAACATTGAAGAGCCCAACTTGTATGTGGCACTAGTTCAGACCAGGCAGTCATGAGCAAAGTCACCCACCTACAGTGAAGGTAGACATGAAGTACAAATTGGAGAGATAAGTGAGGAATGGGGATGTGGGAAACTCTGCTCTTTGTAGCCCCCAAGGACGAGCCTACTCAAGTGGTGCCCACAGATCTTACAAAAACATCCACATGACCGTGTTCTGCCAACCCAGTCTGAACACTAAAATGAGACATCCGGCTTAACGGTAACCACTGGACAGACTTTGTGAAGTTCCCTTCTAACTCCACTGTCTCCCACTCCTACCACACCCACCACCATCACGCCTTCCCCCCTATCTTGAGACAGACAAAACTGCAGCAATAACTAAAACTAATAGGGATGCACAAGTCAATGATTTCTTTTCAGAAACTGGTAATACCTCAATGAAGAGGCTGGCTTGGAGAGCAAAGTCTGAGTTCTTGCAAGACAAAGCCAAAAGAAGCTATACCATTTTAACTAAATTCATGTTAAAAAAAATTCATGTCCCAGAAAGCTAGAAAAAAAATCAGATAAGGAACAAGAGTTGTGTGCAAAAATACTCATTTTGACAATTCATGATAGTCAGAAATTAAAAGCTATCTTCATGTCCAACAATACAGAATTGTAAAAGTCTTTTTGGTACTCACGTTGTGAAATATTACAGAGCCATTTACATCTTGTTTTAAAGAATAATTAGTGACAAAAATGCATGCATTATATTTTTTTCAAACTATAATGAAAATAATGGCAATAGCCTGTATCTTTAGATTATAATGATACTATGTTCCAAGCAAGTGCTGATAATTTACTTAGGTTATCCCATGTGATTCTTTCTGGTACCTCCTTAGAAAGGCTGTGTGTCATCTCCATTTGACGTATATAACAGTGGTTTCAAACTCCTTGGGGCTAAAATATCTGGGCATATATAGCAAAGCAGTGAGGAGAGCCTCCCAGATGTTTGGGAACTGCTTCTGAAAACTCATCCTGAGACTAGATGTCAGGCTCCCAGACTTCCACTCAGTAAGAAAGGCTTGGTCAGTGGAAGACAGGGGTAATCTGCTGCTGTCCAACTGAGCGTCCATTGGATTCATTTCTGAGTCACAATGCTCTTTGAGAAAGTACTTAGGAGTATTTTCATTAAAGAATTGCAAACCATTTTAAGGTACAAGCTGCACTGCTGGGACACCTTCTGAATGTATTTAATCCTGGGAGTTGTGGGAGGATATTATTTTCTTCTCATAACAAAGCAGAGAGAAGCTGTGTCATTTCAAGGAATGCTGCATAGTCTGCAGTTGAGCGGGAGATAGTGGTAGCAGGAGGGCATCCGCTGTGGCACTGGAGTGTTGCCAGGGAGTGCATGCCTGGAGAATTCTTGGGGGGTGGGTGAGGTGAAGAGAGTTTCATAAGCTCCTCCCTGAGGTTTCCTGGGGATAATTGCTGCAACTGAAACTTTGTGTAAGCAAGTAGTAGCATGAATGTGCAAAATTTGCATTATTCAGAATTAGAATCATAAAATGATAGAGGGTGATTGTGGGAGTATAGTTCTAGCTCTTCTGTATTTTCTACATTTTCTGTAATATTATGAATTACTTTAATAGTAGAATAAATCAGTATTTTAAAAATAAATAGAATATTGTAAGCATTATTGTTTCTTGCCAACTATTATACACATATCCAATCTTCCAAGTAAACCTAAAGTTGATCTCACCTGAAAAAATGCCACTTTACTCCCTCACTCCCAGGATGATAAAGTAGTCCAGAGGAGCACTAGACTCTGCGGATTCTGCAACTTGGGGCAAACTAGAGCACCTCTGGACTTTGGAGACCGATGTTACAAGGACAAAAGATACTGCAGAAATTCACCTCCGTTCAACAAAAGGTCAGTAAAGAAGGTGCCTGGAGACAGCCCCAGGCTGAAACCTTAATTCAAGCCCTTGCTCCTCTAATAGGGCAGGCTCAGAGAGAGGGGAGAGCTGCTTAGTGTGGAAGATTACTCCTAACTGTGGGGAGATAGATTCAGAAGTGCTACCATGAGCCAGCTGCACAGCATCCCCAGTGAGGAAGACAACACTCATAAAGGCGCTGCACTGCCCCCAAGCCCTTTGGAACTGGAGCTGATACTGTAAAGCAGCACTGAAAGCCTGGCCTGTAGACTATAAAGACAGGCCTGTGGTACTGCTGTAAAGGCCAGTTTCACTGTGATGATGGAGACCATCTTTTTTTTTTTTTTTTTTTTTAAATATTAAATTTTATTTTTATATTCCCCCATACAATTGCAAACGCCCCATTCTGACCCCAATCCTTCCCCTCCCGCCCCCCACCCCCAAAAAGTGTCTCTGGTTCATAGTTTTTTGTTGATTTTGATTTTCACTTTCTTATATTCATTTTCCTGGTCCCTTATTTAAGTTTTCTAGATTCCTGCTATGAGTGAGACCATCCGGTATTTTTCTTTTTCTTTTTGGCTTATTTCGCTGAGCATGATCCCTTCCAGTGCCATCCATGTTGCTGCAAATTGCATGTGTTTATCTTTTTTGAATGCCATCTTACCCCACCTCCAAGCCAGAGCAGGCAGTTACAAATTTCTTCAGACTGACATACAGTGCCACCTACTGGAAAATTGGAAGTACCGCACCTTAGAACACTTGAATACACAACACCTTAGAAAGCTACAAGTGGGGAGATGGAAGAACACAACAAAAGCACCTGAGTCCTCAAAAGAATATTTTACCACAGGGAGAGAGAAAATCTCTAGAAGTCAACTACAAAGACATGGAAAAATCTTTATTTTCCTATCTGATTCAGAGTTCAAAAATCCAATGATAAGATATTCAAAGAAATGGAAGAATTTTTGAATTTCTCAAACCCTAAATAGTGAAAGTTCTCCTGATTATAAAGGGAAAGAGTGAGGTATTACACTCCCAGACTTCAGGCATGGTATTGGAACAAAATCAGACACACAGACCAATGGAATCAAATGGAAAGCCCAGAAATAAAACCACACATATCTATGACAAATGAGCAAAGAAAATGCCACAGGAACAAGGAAAGCCTCTTCAATAAATGGTATTGGGAAAACTGGACTGCCATTGCAAAATAATGAAACTAGACTACACGGTCTCCTACTATACACAAAAATCAACTCAAAATGGATAAAAGACTTGAATGTAAGTCCTGACATAGGCAAAACACTCCATGAGATAAACCTCAGAAACATTTTAAGGATTCATCTCCAGAGGCAAGGAAAACAAAGGAGAACTGCATCAAACTAAAAAGCTCTGTACAGCAAGAGAGATAGTAATCGAAAGAAGAGACATCCTACTGTATGGGAGTAAATATCTGCACACCATCCAACAGATAAGGGACTGATATTAAAGATCTACAAAGAGCTTACACAACTCAACAAACACAAGTAAAATAAATCTTTTACCCCACTCACTGAAGGATGCGGCTGTTGCTTTTCCCTGCTGGGCAAACTCATTTCCAAATGCACTTCCCCAGAGAGATCAATAGAGGGCAGCCAATCAAGGCTGTTGAGTTACCAGAAGCTCAGCTAGCAACTGCTTATTTAAATAAGGAGAAGGGCTCTTATTGCTCAGGGTAAACAGAAAGTGGTGGAATAATATTCAGAGCTAGGGTATCAGGGTATTATGTAAACTCTCCTGGGCACCGCAGCTATAAAAGCTGTCATTTCTACAGTTGGGGACACTGTGCACTCCAATCCTGTACCCCTGTCCCCCAACAACAGATAAATCACGTTTGTGATCTGCTACAGTGGATTTACTTCTGTCTCTTCCTCCCTCCTCCCACCGACCTCCCAATCAAACTGCTTTTATTAAAAAAAAAAAAAAAATCCCCCCAACCCTATCTTTTAGTTTAAAAGTTTTAATCTACCTTTTAAATTCTTAAATGCTATGTTTAGTCCTCAATACCATCTACTTGTTTTCAGTTTTTCATTTCTATGGTATCAGTCTTTTTATTTACATTAAATTTATCTACTATTTTACTTAAAGTTCATTCTAGCCTTTATATACTATCCTAACTCTTAACATTTCAAGTCAATATTTTTCTTCATTGTATTTTAAATTCCTTTAATCTGAACTTCTAATTCTTTTTCACTTTATTTCATGACCTCAACTTCTACTTTCTCTTTACTGCTTGCTGAATTTTTCCTTTCCCCTCTACCCTAGGAGCCCCATCCCTTCTTTTCATCCTTTTGTGGATTTATGATTTAATGGGCAGCCAAAACTATTTAGAAATGAAAATCACGCTGAGAGCCCTTGCTACTATCCCAAGAAGTCAGAGGGCATTTTCTAGACTCACCTTTGATCCACAGTTAGATCCTCATGAATGTTCCAGAAATCTCTACACTCACTGTGTCTGTGCTACCATTTAATTCATGCAGAGAACACAGTGAATTCACTGGACAGGAATGCTTCCTATTATTTTACATGTTCTATTATCTCACTCTTGTATGAAAACTTCCATGTTTTAAAAGTTATTACCAGTATTATCGCCCCGAGATGAGGGCACACCAAGAGCTAGGTGTCGGTAATTACACATAAGTCAGAAAAGTTGGAGTCAGAAAAGTTGGTTGTAAATTCCAGGTCAACAACATAGCTACCTCATTGCATCATGTGTTGCATCATCTTGTGCTAAGTTTGTTAACCTGCTCAGCCTCAGTTTCCGCATAATTAAAATGGGATAATACTATTATCAACCTCATATTTTTGTGGTAAGGATTTGGTGAGATGACATATATAAAGTAGTACCTGTCTTTGCCCAGAGAACTTTCTCAAGAGAAAGTAAAACCTGTTCTCTATAAGCAAAAAGAACTTCTTTCCCCTTAGAGCTTTATAGCAAGCTTGGCCTATGGAAAGAATAGCTAAATATTACAATGATCATTGGTTTGTATTGGAAAGTTTCAAAGGATAGTTTGTCATCTCACCTTAAGAAATGAAGAAAGAAGTTCAAAGCTCAGGTGGCTTATAAATTGCAAGTACTGTGATAAAACTGAACAAGTAACAACATTTTGCTTGCTGAGCACAAGAATGTGTTCATTCTCAAGGCAAAAACTGCCTCACCCTACAAGATAGTATTGTTGGACTAATCATATTTAGACCCTACAAGAGCAAGTCTTAGTATAAATAAACTAATCAGGGGACATCCCCTGGTGGCGCAGCGGTTGAGCGCTGGGCTGCGAAGCTGCGTGCAGCCTCGGTTCTATCCCCGGCCGCCCAGAGGGTCCCACATGGCGCGCAGACCTCTCCTGCCGCGCCCATTGCTCCCCTCAGCAGTGTGTTTCGTCAGTCTGCCTGTTCTGTTCCCCGCTCTGGCTCTGGTGAATTCTCTCACCCTCCCGCACTTCTGGCTGTACCCAGTGCTTATATAAATAAATAAATAAATAAATATTTTTAAATAAATAAATAAATAAACTAATCAGAAATAAGCTTTCACTTCAAATGATCTTGGGGGAGAAGTGTTGGGGGGAAAGGATGTCCTGTGTTAATCCCATATAGGCTTTGTGGACTCCACCCCCACTCCAGACCAAAGCCATCAGGACATTGGGAAAGACAAATCCCATCACCACCAAAGGGAAGGTGGCTGGGACCTGAGGGTGGAGTTAAGCAGCCAGGTTGGGTATAAAAACAAAACACGTGGACCTTGAGGGTCGCTCGCTCTGTCGCTCGCCTCCTGGCTTCACAGCTCCTGGCTCGCGGCCAGCTCTCAGAGTGCCATTTGGGATTCCAGATCAGCGGATCAGGTAGGACGCATTTAAAACTTTGTCTCCCATTTTTTTCCCTGAGCTGTACATTTCCTCATTTGCCCTTCCCTTGTAAATAAACCTTTTATTAACCTAAGAGCTGGCTGCAAGCCAGGAGCCGTGAGGCCAGGAGGCAAGCGACCCCCAAGGCCCACGTGTTTGGTTTTTATACCCAACCTGGCTGCTTAACTCCACCCTCAGGTCCCAGCCACCCTCCCTTTGGTGGTGATGGGATTTGTCTTTCCCAATGTCCTGATGGCTTTGGTCTGGAGTGGGGGTGGAGCCCACAAAGCCTGTATGGGAATAGCACAGGACATCCTTTCCCCCTAACAGAAGGAACAATGGGGATCAGGCTCTGCTTTCTCTGCGGAGAGGGTTAGCAGCATGTGAGAAGGATAGGGAGTGGATAGAGAGGAGGTCACAATAAAAGAACTGTCCCATTCTCAGGAGTTTAGGGCTTTCAATGCATTCTGCTGGCTCAGGAAACTGGAATTTCATTTGGTTTTTCTTGGAAGCAGTCACCTTTGGTCAACTCCCTCTGGGAACTGTAACAGCACATCCATCAACAGAGGAATTCATTCCAAGGGAGAATGCCTTAGCTCTACATCCAGGAGTAGAGTGGTACTGAAGAGGTATCCGCTGGATGCCACAAAAAAAGACATTTCTTTGCTGCAGCAATAAACACGTAGTCTCTTTTCTAAAACTGATAATAAGTGTTCTATCCAAACCTCCTATGTGGGTGGGATAGGAAGAACTGGGGAAAATGTTAACCACTTTGATCGTAGATTGCTCACCGTAACCAAAGGCAAAACCAGCTGCTGTGAGGTTATAAGTGCTACATGTGCTACTTCCAATGTCAAGGCCATCACGCCTCAGCCACTTCAGTCACAGTCAGAAGTCTAAGTGCCAGATCATGTATCTTCATACTGATATTCTCCATCCCTCATCTAACCCCTCTCTTGCTCTCTTTGCTCTCCCTAACCCATTCCTTGTCTCCTATGTAATTTGAGCCTTTCTCACCAGAAAACTTTCCTCTATCCACAACCTCATTTTCGTTCTAAATGAAACATGAGGCTCCCAGAGGACACAGCTTTCCTGAAGACCTCTAAAGATAGGGCTATTTTGCTTGAACACCATTCCCTTGCCACCTAGTTCCCGTTTACGGTTTCCAATATCTTTCCATCCTCTTTTAAAAGCCACAGCTCACTGAAGTACATGTCACCAAACTCGAACATCCCCTCTCCCTAGTTATTGCTGTCACACATAGAAAGTCTGCTGGTATCTCCTCATTTTGATAGCCTCAGACCAGGAAATTGTCTCACTTTCCACCATAAACATTCTGTGGTTCCAAATCTGGGCCTCTTGAGGCCTCCACACTCCTCACCTCCTCTCCCCTCACCTCTCCTTTCTACTTCTCTCCTCTCCTCACCTCCCCCTTCATGGTCCTCTACTGCCTATAAAAATGTCCACCCAACATAGGACGCGAACATACCAATCTGATATTAGTCTTATTATTACTCTTCCAAATAAGTTAGCCAGAAACATCCATACCTGGGACCTTTAACACAACATTTAGGTTCTCCATTTGCTATACAATACTTAGACTTTGCCCAGTGTACAGTTCAGTCTACCTACTCCTTTATTAGCAATAAAAAAACAAAGTAAAAAAAGATTCTTACTTTTGTTTTTCCATTTGGATCTCCTTCTGCTGCATGTTGCATAAGTCCTTTTTAAGACTGATAACTTGGTCACAGGATAAAGATGGAGAAACGTAAGTTCCATCAACTGGCAGCTCATCAAAGCACGGCGACCTGAAGGCATACGAGTCATCACAGCAGTGTCCCACACCCGTGTTGATGGGCTCAGCCTCATGTCTTCTGCATAAAGCTCCAAGAATTAACTTTGCCTTTCTCCGGAGAGGATTAAAATAAGAGCCATTAATTGTGTGGCCATTTTTTGTAATCCATAGCTAATAAGATTATATTGGAATTGTATGGGGAATATAAAAATAAAATTTATTAATTTAAAAAAAATAATTAATTAATTAAAAAAAAGATTATATTGAAGTATTTTTAATTTCTAGATTCTGGAACTTCCACCTGTATTTTACTGTTGGGGAAAAGAAATAGAATGCCTGGTGCAGCCTGGTACCCAGCCTTATCTTTGTTCTTCCATCATTCTCAAGTTGAGTTCACTCAGACCTCACCCAGCTGCAGGTTCCTCCTTAGTTCAGTTTAAAAACTTTAGGCAGTTTTCTGTGTGCCATTAACTTCAAATCAAGTCTTAAGTTTAAGGCTTGACCAAAGCCTTAAGTTAAAATTATTGCTAATATGACTCAGATATAAAACTGATGATTGGCACCCTTATTTCAATAGCTTAACTCCAGTTTGTTTCTATTTTTTCTAACTGGGCATCTATAACAGCACAAACTTGGCACGAGGTAGATGTTCCAGTAGATGTTCCAAATATTTGTTAATTGAATATAAAAATAAACAAATAATGAAAAAATCCTTGGATGCTACCATAGTTATCTCTGTCATTTTCAGATTCTTTCAAAAATTGTCACCTTTCCTTAGTCCCAAAGTGATACCTGATATTTATCCTGATGCTCTCTGCACGCTTGTCCTTTATAAGACCATAAGTGACCTGTCACTTGTATATGTGGGAATGAAATAATTGAAGCCGGTAAGCATCAACATTTAATGTGTAAATTTTTCCATTTTGGAAGTAACCAACGAGATCACCTAATAACAAGTCTTTAGGGATATGTCTAATCAAAAGACTTCCCCAATGAAGGTGTGACTAAACAATAAAGTTTATAATAAAGCAAATGGAGGGCTGGGCTAAACAATAAATCTCTTAAATTTGCAATCAAATATGTATATGCTATCAAAGGAAATACCAACTAAGCATAAAAGACCTATTTTGCCAATTAGGGTAGAGAAAGTTGTCATCAAACAAGAACTCATCAGTGTTGAGAGAGACCTAGAGACTTCATATACAGATTCCTCCATTGTGAGGAAAGAAAACAATTTATCATGTGTCACTATAGCCTGGAAGAAATATCCCCTAAAACCACCCCTGCCCTTCCTCTAATTCAATTTGCACAAATGCCTGTATCTGAATTCAACTTTCCAAATATTTTGATTCAGGAAAAAGTGTAATCTAGTTAACTGACCCAATTATTCTTTTTTTTTTTTTTTAGATTTATTTATTTATTTATACAAGCACTGGGTACAGTCAGAAGCGCGGGAGGGTGAGAGAATTCACCAGAGCCAGAGCGGGGAGCAGAGCAGGCAGAAGGACCGAAGTACACTGCTGAGGGGAGCAGCGGGCAGCAGGAGAGGTCTGCGCGCCATGTGGGACCCTCCTCCGGTGGCCGGGGAGCAGCCAGGGATCGAACCGGCGCTGCAGAGGCTGCAGGCAGCTTCGCAACCCAATGCTCAACCGCTGCGCCACCCGGGAGGCCCTGACCCAATTATTCTTGCCATGTGGAAGACATTGCTCATTGTAACGAATACACTGGTTGTTCTGTCTAATGAATTTAACACTGTGGACTTGGTTATAATGAGTTCACTTAAAATCATCATTACATCATTATCTTTGTCGTTTCTGAAAAATCACTTCTGTTGGTTTGAAAACCCAAAATAGACCTGGGATATAACCCAGGAAAATGCTTGCTGAATCTGGCATCCCCAATGTTAAGAAAGTCGGTCTTAGCCTTCCTGTTAATTAAATATGATTGGAATGAGCTGACCTGAAAGAATGTCTCCTAGGGACAGAATTACCAGGCACTATTGACAGTTCATAGATGTGTCCACTGACATAAGATTGATTAAGAGAAGTTAGAGATTAGAAACCCAACAGGCAAATATGAAGCCCCAGATTTGCTTACCGCATCCTCCATGCAGATAAATTGTTGTCCATCACTCAGTGGGCAACACTTGGTGGCAGCAGCTGCCATATTCTTTGTGAACATAACCAACTCTTCAGCAGGTAGTTGTGGGAACTTCTTTGTATAAAGTACTATGAGACTGAAAAAATAAACCCTCTTATTCCTGGCAATGACTCTGTGCCCCAAATGAAGAATTCTACAGTTTCCTCAATATCTGATGTTGTCTCTGATTTAGGATGAACAAGGCATTATATTATATTGAGTTTAATTCTATTTTTTCATCTTTGTTCCAATGACCCAATAACTTATTCAGTATATCTGGAATTCTCTCCCCACCTCACACATTGCTCCACTTTGATTTATCTTTTCCCTACTTAAAAGGATACTATCAATATAAGAACTAATATGGATGGCCACAGAATCAGATTTAGAATGAACAGCTTCTGAAATAAGGGTATGTACGGGGCATTAAAGCTTTTCTGGGTCATTCGCAATGTGCAGGGATGGAAGCTATGGCAATAATGATCAGCGAACAGATCGTGTTCTCAAGGGGCTCACACACTAGTGAGGGAGATAGACACTAGATGGCATGAGGGAGCACCAAGGCTGTAGGTGCACATAGGATGGCATCTAATCCCATCCTAGGGAGGTCATTCCAGGAAGAAATGATATGTGACAATAACTAAAAATGAGCAAAGTTAAGGGGTGAAAGTGGGAGGAATATATTTGGGAAGCCATTGGGTGTGATTTTGTTTCCTTGATTGGGGGGAGGGGTTGGAGATTAGAAAGAGGACAAGGAAGAAAGTTTAGCAGCAGTATCAGATTTCTGTTGTTTTTGAGATAAATGTTGCTGTGTAAAGAATGGATTGGAAGTGGGCAAGAGGCAAAGTGAAAAGAAACATTTGAACGCCATTTCAGTAATTCAGGTGAGAGATGGTGATGGCTCAAACTAGCAGAGAGGTGTTGAGAATTTAGGGATAGAGACAGAGAGATTTTAAGGAGAAAAACTACAGAAATGGACATGTGGCTAACAAAAATTCAGAATCAATTATTGTATTTACATAATAATGGAGCTGAGGAAAGAATCTATCTTTCAGTGCAATAGTCTAATCTAGTGATTCTCAAAGTGTGACCCCTGGATCAGCAGTAACAACATTCTTAGGCACTTGTCAGAAATGCAGATTCTCAGGCCCCACCTCAGATTTACTCAGTCAGAAGCTCTAGTGGTAGGGCTGTGTTTTAACAAGTGCTGCAGCTAATTCAGAAACATGCTAACATTTGAGAACCACAGATCTAATTCTCAAATTAGACATTCACAACTGTATACAACATAAAAGAAATACTTCTCTAAAGCAAGAATATTTTTTCTGGATTCATTATACTGTACATTTAAGTTAAGCTCAATATTATAACTATATCAAACTGAAATTTTCCTCAATATTCTGCTCCTAAATAGACTACTACAGTAAGATCTTAAAGATCACTGAAAATTGGCTTTTTTTTTTTTTTGAAATGCTGTGGATTTACCATTGTCTGCACACAGGAGTTGTATATGTTCCTGATGGAGGACAAGAATAGAAAAACCAGAAATGAGGCCTCACAAGACTAAAACCTGACTCACACAAGGAGATGGGGGTCGAGGGGAATAACATGACCATTAACCCAGCTGTAGAGGTCGTGACTCTTAGGCACCAGCACCTTATCACAAGGCAGGAGACCCAAGCAGGATCAGACTGCTATAGGGAGTGGAGCACAGGCCTAAGGGTAAAGATACGGAGATTGGGCCCACCCTGGACTCTCTGGTCCCTTTCTAGTTTTCCCTGTTACCCAACATCGGCAACAAGCAGGCCACTCCACGGAGGAGTGAGCCCTCCCTAAGAGAAAAGGACTATATCCTGCAGTCTCTGCACAGGCACGGGCAGCACTCCCAATGCCCACCTGTGACTATGTTAGGGGGAAAGGATGTCCTGAGCTAATTCCATGCAGGCTTTGTGGACTCTACCCGCACTCCAGACCAAATCCATCAAGACATTGGGAAAGACAAATCCCGTCACCCCCAAAGGGAAGGTGGCTTGGACCTGAGGGTGGAGTTAAGCAGCCTAGAGTATTGTTAAGTCCTTTTAAGCGCGCGTGTGAGGACCCACAGTCAGGCAACCCGTTTTGTATAAGGGCTGCCCTGTAACAACTATGCAGGTTTCTCTTTTCACCAGCTCTCTCCCTCTGCAGGGCAGCAGCCACCTGCCTGCCCATGACCTGTACCATGCCGGGATGTCTCTTCACTGACCTCCCTCAGCGGAGGCAGCTCTCCTCAAGGCCGCCCACCTGTGACCATGCAGGCCTCTCTCAGCAAACCTGTCCCTTTCCCTTTCCCTTTCCCTTTCCCTAATAAACCTGTTCTTTAAAAATGACTAACGTCTCTGTCACATGGAGAAACGTGCCTGGGGAACTCACCATGTGCCGCTGAACTGGGAGCTCTGGTGATACCTTTCCCAGAGTGAACCCAAGAACCCCGCACTCCACAAAAACGACATCATTCCCTTTGGCAAATAACTAAGATCATCATTTCTCTCTCCTCTCAATGGTGACAATACAAAATTTGCCATCTAGAACTGACTTGAAACTGACAAAGGACGTAGATTAGATATCTTTTGCAGTCTTATTCAAAACCACAGGCAAAGCCCACTACTTAGCGTTCAGCTGTGAGGGAGACAGCCTCAATGAAATGGTGGAAGAGCAGCAAGTACCTGATTGGCTCTCCTACTTCTGGACAGAGGTGAGAATCTGGAAACTGTTCTGACAGGCAACAGATAAACACCCAAATTTATGTAGACACCTCTCTTACCTAAACAAAGATACCCAGGTTATTTTAGGACTTCTTTCCCTTGGTCTCTGAGATTTTAAAGTTGGATGAAGACTCTCAGCAAATCTCGGCATCAGGCATTTAAAAAAAATCACTAAAAAGCATAAATCTGGACAATAACTGGAAGCATACCTGTCATGGAAGTTACCATCTCCTAATTTCTTATGTAAATCACAGTGACTTTTTATACGCTCATGGCTTTCACGAACCACTCTTTGGAACATCTCCTTCTGAAAAATAAGTATTTATCAGTGTTTACCTATCATTGCAACAATATATCTTGCAGATTGTAAAACCATCTTCTATAATAGTTCAATGTAACTGTTTTCCTAAATCCAGAGTTTTATTTACTTAGTGTGTTTGTAAATCTTGAAAATCATGTTTTGCTAAAACAGGAGTGGCCATGTACTTTGTGGAGAAAAAGAGTGGGCCCACAAGACTGATGTTCAGTTTCCCCTGATAATAAACTCATTTGTGAGTTCAAATGGCATATTTTACAAGCATAAGGCAAATCATTCATCAAACATAAAAGAGATCTATAAAAGTAGTTTGCAGATAGAAGTTTAATTGCTCAAAGTGTACATGTGTGTATTTGTTATTTCTAAAAAGCTTTTTGATATAAACAGCATAGAGATATAGCTATAAATATAGAAATTTAGATACGTATTAAGAAGTCATGGTTTAATAAAAATATGTACCTCTCCGGAATAGATATTAAAGCACTCCATAAAGAGCCATTAAAGGGCATCAAAAAGAGTTCTCAGAGATAAGTGTAAATTCAAAGAGTTCTTAACCATGCAAATAAAATTCCGGTGGACCGCTCCGGCTGGACGCTTTAGTAAGAGCACTGGTTATGGTCCTAACTAGTCAGCTCCAGTTGACCTGATCATAATAAGCAGTGTTTGTTACATTGAAAATTATACTAGTTTCATAAGCTATTTACCTGGGTTCAACCTTTAATCCTGACCTGATTGCCTGTGTGATATTGGGCAAGTCACTTGAACCATCAGAAACTCAATACTCTCATCTATAAAATGTAGTTAGTAATTCTGCCATTATCTTTATTATCAGACTGGCATGAGGATCAAATAAGTCTGGTTGCAAAACTGCCTTGTAAATTCTTCATGTTCCTGTAAGGTGTTATTATCATGTTGATTATTGTGGAGGCCCATCGATGATGTTATGAAAGTGCCAATGTATAGAGATATGCATCACCTTCATGTATCCTTCTCTCTCAGAACAGAAAGGTGCTAGTATACTTGATTCAGCCCATACAGGACAAGAGTTGCCTTCGCCCTTCACTCTACCCCCCAACTCTCTGTAAATATGCAGACCACTGATTAGAATAAGAAAAACCAGAACCAGCTGACTCCTGGTAAGCCACTGATAACTGATCATCTGGTCAGAGATTTGTGAGGCCACCAACTCTTTTCATGCCAAATGCACAATCAAAGCTGCTTCTTGTGAACAATGTGGCTTCTGACCTGAATAAGGGCAGTTTCCAGGACTGTTTGGTGGGCACAGTCAACCTTCCCACTCCCTTAGTCTGTGCTTTCATGCTACTGCTAAGCATACCCTCACTTTAAAAAGAAGATTGTACAGAAAAGTTTTCATGAAGTGTAGGATCTATAAGACAGTGATTGGCCCAGGGATACCTTTGGCTTCAATGAAATTTACATTTCTTGTATAATGCTTAGAGTTAACAAGACTATATACATAATTATCTTACAAAAGTATGGCACTACTAACATATTGGTATTTTCCTATGTTTGCAATCATTTATGAATAACAGTTTTAAAAAATAAGAATTTACCCCATGACTGTAGCATCCCAGAGGATTTTCTAATTTACAGCATTTTCCTAATAAATTTTGATATATTGTATCCACTCTTAAAATCACTGGAACTGCCAACTCTGGATGCCTTCGTGAATATTCATAAAGAAACCTGTAATTGTATGAAAAACTTTAGAAAGTAAATAGTAAAATTCAGAGGTCATGAGTTTTCTTTCAAAAGCTGATTGTGACCATGAAATGCATTCAATATTTTAACTGACCTTAAGGCATTGGGAAACATTAAGAGACTGATAGAGAGGTTTTATTGCCCATATTTTGAGATAAGGAAAGCAAATCAACAAAATTACAGGATGTTGCAAAGACATTGCGTGAGTGGCTATCTAAAAATTGAACTTAAAAAAACATCCTGAATAGCTGATAGCTTTTGACTCAGGGGTTCTACCCACTTTCATTAGAAATTAATTTCAAGCATATAGGTAGAAATACATTTTTCTCAATGGTCTTTGAGTCCAGATTTTACAAGTATATATTTTTAAAGAAAGTGTTGGATAATACTGAATCACCCTGTCTCCCTCTTTCCCACATAAGACTTCAAACATGAGTAGTCCATTCATAATCTATACATTTTGAGGGATATAAGAAGGAGAAATTTGAACTCTAGAATGTTTTTAAAGCATTCATAGAATCACAGAAGGACCCTCTGTTATCTTTTTCTTAGGATATTTAGAATTTAATTGTACTATGTAGATGTATAATAAACAAGAGCTCAGTTTTCTTCAAACTATAAATATTTCACTCATTATCATATTAGGCAAGAATGATGAATTGTAAAGACAGGTGACTAGAGACAGAGAAAAATATTGGGGCACAGGATTCCTAAATTTTTGACTTGAAGTTGGTTTTACTAAAAAAAAAAAAAAAATCAGTTTTATGTATTTCATTCACAAAAATAAAAAAAAGGGCTGAGGTTCTTGAGAGATCTGAACAGGGTTGCAGAACCTCTGTTTTCTTAGTCAGCCACCTTATTTTACAGTTGGAATGCATACGCATGGGAAAATTAAGTAATTTGATAGACATTTCAAAGCTAATGCATGACAAATCTACGTTAAGACTCAGTCCTTCCAACTCAGAGTCAATGTGATTTCCACTAAGTTGTGTCTACCAGCTTTTCAGTACCAAATGTCAAGTTTAAGCCTAAGTGGCTTCACCTAATATTTACTTTTATAAACCAATGTTAAATGTAATTTTAGAAATATTAGTCATTGTACAAATAACTTTGAAGAAAACTCAAACTCTTGGGCTTTTCAAAATTTAGTTCCTCCAAATAGTGCTTCACAAAGTGACTCTGGAAATATTTAAATCATAAAACAATATTGTATTAATATTATATATTAACATTAATTTGCCTTATGCACAAATTCATTTGCCCTTCTGAATGGACACTAGAGTTGTTGATTCTCTCTCAGCTCTTTAAATGTCACACTATGGCTTTATTAACAGTTATTAAATATATCAAAACAGAAATGCTAATCAGGTATACCAATCCCAACCTCTTACTTAGACTTGGCTTAGAAAAGTACCTCAGAGCAAACTGTGGAAACTTGACTCCCACAATGTTTTTTAGAATTCCTGTATTTTTTGTCAACATTTAAAAAGCAAAAGATAGCCAGTCTTCCAAAATGCATTAGACCCACTGAGGTGAAGGTCCCTCCCTGAGTAAGCAGGAACCAGGCGCCCAGGCACGGGAGCGGTGCAAAAGGCGCCCTTCCCGCGCCACTGAACTGGGCTACAGCCCGCGTCCTGGAACTGAGGGCTTTGGAACTGAGACCCGGGGCACGAAATTAGGGGCGTGGGTTCCCCACGACGGTGGGGCACAAGGCAGACACAGCACCCCAAAGCCGTTGAGGTGTACCCTACCATCCCCGCTTTGCTCCCTGTCCCACGGCGTGGAAAATCAGCTCCCCAAGGGCTCTAGGAGAGATCTTTGGCGCCACCTAGCGACTTGTAGACAGCACAAGCTCCTGAAGGAACTAGTGGCCAGCTGGGGAGTTAGCCCACACCCGGCCCCTTCCGAACAAGTAGTCTGAGCCCACAGGGAGAGCGAGCACCCACAGCCAGGGCAGACCAGGCACGCAGAAGAGTGTGCCTGACACCGGACGCGCAGGGAGTGTGTCCCACATCACCATTTTAGAACAGGGACATTTCTTCAGTAAAGACTACCTGCAGAAGGCTTCCTCAGGAGCCAGAGGTGAGCGGGGGAAGTTCGCCCACGCCAGACCCCCTCTGGCCTGCAGTCCAAGCCCAGAGGGGGAGCAGGAACCCACCGCCGGGGCAGACCAGGCACACAGGGGAGTGTGTCCCCACATCGACATTTTAGGACAGGGATCTTTCTCCAATAAAGACTGCTTGAAACTGACAGATGACTCCAGGAGGAACCAGAGGGGAGAAGAGAAGCCCACCCAAGATGCCGGCCAGTCCCAACAACACAGTGTCCCAACGCATACGGCAAATTAGAAAACAGACAGTAGGGAGGAGAAGAACCACACGCAACCTAGCAACTCTCCAGAGAAAAAGCACACCACAAAAAGAAAACCAGCCCCCAGATTGCAACGACAGTAACTTGGAAGAACTTCTGAGCCTTCCAGAAAGAGAATTTAAAATTGCCGTGATTAAAAAACTGACAAAAGTCATAAAGGAAAACAATGATAAGGGAAAAATAATCAACGATCAGAAGAATGAAATTGAGTCCCTAAAGAGGGAAGTAAAAGAAATGCAGGAGATCAAAGAATTAGTGGAAGAACTAAAGAATTCTGGGAAAAGCAATGAAAGCAGAATTGATGAAATGGAAGAACGAATAAGTGCTCTTGAAGACACAGAAATAAAAAGAACTAAAACAGAAAAGGAAAGAGAAGTACGAAGGAAAAAGAATGAAGAAAGACTTCGGGAACTATCTGACTCCATGAGGAAAGGAAATGTAAGAGTTATAGGAATACCAGAAGGAGAGGAGAGAGAAGTAGGAACAGAGAAAATATTCAAAGAGATAATTGAAGAGAACTTCCCAAATGTGAAGAAGGAGCTGAAAATTGATATACAAGAAGCAAGAAGAACACCAAACTTCCACGACGAAAGAAAAAATACAGCAAGACACATAATAGTAAAGCTCCCAAGAATCCAGGACAAGGAAAAAATAATGAAGCTGGCAAGAGGGAAGAAACAGATAACATTCAAAGGAAAGCCAATCAGGCTGACATCAGACTTCTCCGAAGAAACACTACGGGCAAGGAGAGAGTGGAGGGACATAGTCAACAGACTCCAAGAAAACAGATGCCAACCAAGAATACTCTATCCCGCAAAGCTCTCCTTCCTCTTTGAAGAAAGAATATGGACCTTCCCAGACAAACAGAAACTCCGGAATTTCATTGCAACTAAACCCCACTCCAAAAATACTACAAGGAGTCCTAAAGCCAGAACCTCAGAGGGACGAATAACAATGAAAGAAGGCCAAAAAAAAAAAAAAAGTTATTAAAAGAATAAATAAATAAAATCAAAGGAAAGACAAACACAATGGCAAATACAGATGTTAACATATCAATATTAACTCTAAATGTAAATGGACTAAACTCTTCAATAAAAAGACACAGAGTTGCAGCCTGGATTAAGAAACAAAACCCAACCTTTTGCTGTCTCCAGGAAACACATTTAGCTACAAAAGATAAAAATAGGCTCAAAGTCAAAGGATGGAAAACAATCCTACAAGCAAATGGGCCAAAAAAGAAAGCAGGAACAGCTATACTTATATCAGATAAAACAGATTTCAAACTCAAAAAAATAAAAAGAGACCCCAATGGTCACTACATTATGATCAAGGGGACAATACTTCAAGAAGAAATAACACTCATTAACATATACTCACCAAACGAAGGAGCACCAAAATATATCAGACAACTGTTGTCTTCTCTGAAAACAGACATCAGAGAAAACACATACGTAGTGGGAGACTTCAACACACCACTATCAACAATGGATAGATCAACAAGACAATAAATAAGTAAAGAAACCAAAGCTCTAAATAAGGACCTAGAGCAATTGGGCTTAACAGACATCTATAGAACACTAAACCCCAAAAAAACGGAGTACACATTTTTCTCAAGCGCACACGGATCATTCTCCAGGATCGATCACATACTGGGGCACAAGACAAACATCAACAGATACACCAAGATTGAAATCATACCAACCATCTTTTCTGACCATGAAGGCATCAAACTAGAACTAAACCATAAAAAGAAGGCAAGGAACTTTCCTACCTCATGGAGATTAAAAACCACACTACTGGAAGACCACTGGACTAATGAGGAGATGAAAGAAGAAATTAAAAAATTTTTTGAATTGAACGACAAGGAGGACACCAATATCCTAAATGTATGGGATGCAGCAAAAGCAGTAATAAGAGGAAAATATGTAGCAATAGAAGCTCACATCAAGAAACAAGAAAGAACTCAAAGAAACAACCTAATCTCGAAGCTCAAAGATCTAGAAAAAGAACAACAAAAAAAACCCCAAAATAGGGCCTCCCTGGTGGCGCAGCGGTTGAGCACTGGGTTGCGAAGCTGCCCGCGGCCTCTGCGGCGCCGGTTCGAGCTGCTCCCGGCCACCTGAGGAGGGTCCCACAAGACCTCTCCTGCCGCCGCTGCTCCCCTCAGCAGTGTCCTTCGGTCCTTCTGCCTGCTCTGCTCCCCGCTCTGGCTCTGGTGAATTCTCTCACCCTCCCGCGCTTCTGACTGTACCCAGTGCTTGTATAAACAAAACAAACAAACAAATAAATGAATAAATAAATAAAAAAAAAAAAAAAACCCAAAACCAGTAGAAGAAAAGAAATAATAAAAACCAAAGCAGAAATAAATGAAAAACTAAAAAAACAATCCAAAAGATCAATGAAACCAAGAGCTGGTTCTTTGAAAAAAATCAATAAAATAGACAAACCCCTAGCCAGGCTCACAAAGGAAAAAAGGGAGAAAGCACAAATAAACAGGATCATCAATGAAAGAGGAGAAATCACAACGGACACAGCAGAAATCAAAAGAATAATCAGTAACTACTATGAACAGTTATATGGAAATAAGTTTAATAATCTAGAGGAGATGGACAAATTCCTACAACTCTACAATCACCCAAAGCTAGATAAAGAAGAAATAGAACACCTAAACAGACCAATTACAATTAGCGAAATTGAAATGGTAATCAAAAACCTCCCCAAAAACAAAAGCCCAGGACCTGATGGATTTACAAATGAATTCTACCAAACATTCAGAGACGAATTAGTGCCTATCCTTCACAAACTCTTCCAAAAAATTGAGAAGGAAGGGACAATACCAAACACGTTCTATGAAGCCAACATTACACTAATACCAAAACCGAACAAGGACAACACTAAAAAGGAAAACTACAGGCCAATCTCCCTAATGAACACTGATGCAAAAATCCTCAATAAAATTTTAGCCATCAGAATCCAACAATGTATCCATAAGATAATTCACCACGACCAAGTAGGATTCATTCCAGGGCACAAGGATGGTTTAACATCCGAAAATCAATCAACGTTATCCAACACATCAACAAAAAGAAATATAAAAACCATATGATAATATCAATAGATGCTGAGAAAGCTTTCGACAAAGTGCAACACCCATTCATGATAAAATCCCTTGAAATTCTTGGGATACAAGGAACATACCTCAACATCATAAAGGCCATCTATGACAAGCCAACAGCCAGCATCATTCTCAATGGTGAAAAGCTGAAAGCAATTCCATTAAGATCTGGAACAAGACAAGGATGTCCACTCTCACCACTGCTTTTCAATATAATACTGGAAGTCCTAGCCAGGGCAATAAGACAAGAGAAAGACATCCAAGGAATCCAAATAGGAAAAGAAGAAGTCAAACTATCACTATTTGCAGACGATATGATATTATACATAGAGAACCCCAAAAACTCCACAGAAAAGCTAATTCAACTCATCAATCAGTTCAGTAAAGTGGCAGGATACAAAATCAACATGCAAAAGTCAGTAGCCTTCCTATACACAAACAATAAATCTGAAGAAGAAGAAATCAAAAAAACCATCCCTTTTGTTATTGAAACAAAAAAATCAAATATTTGGGAATAAATCTAACAAAAGAGATAAAGGACCTATACAAAGAAAACTATAAAACACTGTTAAAAGAAATAGAAGAAGACAAAAGAAATGGAGAGACATCCCCTGCTCGTGGATTGGAAGAATAAACATTATTAAAATGGCCATCCTTCCAAAAGCAATATACAGATTCAATGCTATTCCAATCAAAATTTCAATGTCATTCTTCAAAGAAATAGAACAATTATTGATGAAATTCATATGGAATCACAAAAAACCCGAATAGCCAAAGCTCTCCTGAAAAAAAAAGAAGGGAATGGAGGCATTACACTCCCAGACTTCAAACTATACTACAAAGCCATAATCATCAAAACTGCATGGTATTGGAACAAGAACAGACATACAGACCAATGGAATCGAATAGAAAATCCAGAAATAAATCCACAGATTTATGGTCAACTAATCTTTGACAAAGGAGCAAAGACTATGCATTGGAGCAAAGAAAGTTTGTTCAATAAATGGTGCTGGGAAAACTGGGTCGCTACATGCAAAAGAATGAAGCTTGACCACTACCTCACACCATACACAAAAATCAACTCAAAATGGATTAAAGAACTAGACATAAGACCTGAAACCATAAAATATATAGAAGGAAATATAGGCGAAACACTACGTGATCTGCACATCAAAGACATCGTTACAGACACATCACCCAAAGCAGTGATAGTGAAGGCAAAGATAAACAGCTGGGACTACATCAAATTAAAGAGCTTCTGCACAGCAAAAGAGACAATAACAAAAACAAAGAGAAACCCCACCAACTGGGAGAACATTTTTGCACCCAACACTAATGATAAAGGACTGATCACAAAAATCTGCAAAGAGCTGATGAGACTCAGCAACAACAAAGAAAATAATCCAGTCAAAAAATGGGCAGAAGAGCTAAAAAGAAACTTCTCTGAAGAGGAAATGCAAATGGCCAACAGGCATATGAAAAAATGTTCAACATCATTTGCCATCAGGGAAATGCAAATCAAAACTACCATGAGATACCATCTTACACCAGTGAGAATGGCACATATTAAAAAAACAAGTAACAACAAATGCTGGCGAGGGTGTGGAGAAAAAGGAACTCTTCTGCACTGTTGGTGGGAGTGCAAACTGGTCCAACCACTGTGGAGAGCTGTGTGGAGATTTCTGGACCTACTAAACATAGAGCTTCCATATGATCCAGCAATTCCACTCCTAGGTATTTACCCAAAGGACACAGAAACATCAATTCCAAAGAACACCTGCACCCCTATGTTTATAGCAGCACTGTTTACAATAGCTAAGCTTTGGAAACAACCCAAATGCCCAAAAATAGATGACTGGATCAAGAAGATGTGGTACATATATACCATGGAATATTACTCAGCATTCAAAAAAGATAAAAACATGCAATTTGCAGCAACATGGATGGCGCTGGAAGGGATCATGCTCAGCGAAATAAGCCAAAAAGAAAAAGAAAAATACTGGATGGTCTCACTCATAGCAGGAATCTAGAAAACTTAAATAAGGGACCAGGAAAATGAATAACTATAAGAAAGTGAAAATCAAAATCAACAAAAAACTATGAACCAGAGACACTTTTAGGGGGGCGGGGGCAGGAGGGGAGGGATTGGGGTCAGAATGGGGGGGCTGCAATTGTATGGGGAATATAACAATAAAATTTATAAAAAAATAAAAAAAAAAAAATGCATTAGACCCAGCCACCCAAATCCTGCATTCCCTTGTGGCAGGCAACAAATAGCTGGAGTTGCCTACTTTGGACTCCACAAAGCATCTCCTCTTGGCTATTGTTTTCATTTAGTCATGCATTTACATCATTGACTAGCCTTTGTCATCATTTAAGTTTGCAACCTCTTCCAAAGAATCCATAAATATAATATTCCATCATTAAGATTTTACAGAAAGCTGTATTACTTTTGTAGGAAGTGGTCTGGCCTCTCGGCAAGTTGTTCACATACAAATTGGTCCTCTGTAAATCTGCTGAGTGGCAAGGATGAAAGTTCAGGTTTGTCATCATTTTTTGAATTAATAATGCATTCCCCTTGGAATGGCACTGGGAGTTCACAGCATCCAGCGATTTTGCTGGATAGAATAGTCTGTTTAGAGCAGGTATAGTTCATAAGTTGGCTCTATAAAACATAAAAGGAAGCAATTATTTTTGTTGTCTTCATGCTGAACTTGTTTATTTTTATTGATATTGGTAGAAAACCAGAAATAAAATTGGTACTTTATATTGCTTGACCCTTGGACAACTGAAAGACCAAAAAAAGAGTCTTTTATAGTGACTCATTCTACAGGAAAGCTTCTCTCTTTGACCTTACTCAAGTAGAACAAGCTTCTTTTAACATCTCTTGAACAACTTAAGGGGAGACAGATTGTATTTATGTTCTCATGTTTAGCTCAATAAAATACAAATGAAGAATTTTATTTTCTTGGTATTGTTGTTATTATTTTAAGATTCCAGATTAGGAAACATTTTATCTTTGTCATTTATTATATACATCATCATTATATTACTATAATATTACTAATATACTTACATATTTGCTTATATATATATACACAAATAATTATGTATGTGTATGAATAAGCTAGTCTCTGCTCTTAAGGAATGCACAATGTAGGTGGAGATTCCAATAATTAAGCAACAACAATAATGCATTATAATAGATGTTGTAAGAGAAGTATACATCTGATGCTCTGGAAGAAAAAAGAAAGATTGGTAATCCAAGTTAGAGGGAGGGAGAACTGAAGATCTTGAATGACTAGAATCTTGAAGACTAATGGCAGTTAGCATTCTATTTTTATTTATATTTGTATATAAAGAATCTTAGAGGTGAGAGAGCATAACATATCTAGAATATGATATAAAGGACATTTGGAGGTTTGAAAAAAGTTAATTTAGAAATGATGAGTCTTTAAAAAATGAGTAACTGGTAGACTTAAGAGCTACTGAGAAGTGAAATTAAAAAGATCTTGATAAACAATAAATAGATTTGAGGCAGGAATGGGGTGAAGACAATGAATCTAGAATGATATGGGACACTGGGCTGATGGTAGCACAATTTACTGAAATTGATATTCAGGAGAAAAGAACAGGTTTGATGAGGAAGACTGAAAAAAGGAGTGTTGGCATGTAGAGATATGATGACTCATGGCATCTACAAGGTACCTACATGGAGATTTCCTCTAATCAGTTGTGACTATACATTAAGAACTGAGGAAAGAAGAAATGGGCTGAAGGTCTGTATCTGAGAATCAGAGAGTGGTAAAGAGCTACCTATGGAAATGGGTTGAGACTGATCAGGGAAAGTGGGTGCTTTAGTCAAACATCTAACATACTCTCTGTGGCTTACTAGAATCAAGTTCTTTCTTTTTTTAAAGATTTATTTATTTATGCATAGAAGAGCTGGGGTGAAGGCCAGAGGTGTGGGGGTGTGATAGGATTCACCAGAGACTGAGTGGGGAGCAGAACAGGCAGATCTACTGAAATACACTGCTGAGGGGAGCAGCAGGCATGACAGGAGAGGTCTACTGTGCCATGTGGGTTGACCCCCTGCCTGGGGATCGAACTCATGCTGCAGTGGCTGCAAATAGCTTCACAGTGCTGAGACTTAACCTCTTGAGCTAGCAGGGAGGCCCAAGTTCATTTCTTTCTCAAAAAGATAGAAAAGAAGTATATTGCTGCTAGACAATAGTTCAGCAACCAGATTGACAGATGCTCTGTCACTTTGAACATTGCCCTCAGATTAGGGATGTTTGGGACAGATTATTATGAGTCAGGCTTAGAAATGACATAAATTTTCTGACCAGAACTTAGTCAGGTGGCCCCACCCAATCGCAGACAGATGAGAAATGTAGTTTATGATCCAAAACTACTCTAGACAATGGAAAGGGGAAAGGAGTCATTGGCTGAATGACTGTCTCTGATTGTACATGTAAAATAAGAAATGAAAAGGTCAAGAACAGATCTATTGGGAATACCAATTTTTGAAGTTAGTAGAAAGGGGGAAGAAAATTGATGGAAGAAGTTGTCAGCATACAGGCATTCCAAATTGATGAAAAATTTCTCCTGCTATCTCCTGTCTTCTAGAGAGCAACTTTGCAAGTCATCATTGGAAAAATAAATTAGTGCCATGAGTGACTGTTATAACTCTAAAGTCAGAGTTTAGGAATTTATATCCTGACATGACTACTTCCTAGCTTTATGACCTTAGTTAGATGAGCTACTTTGCCTCTTTGTGTGTCAATTTCCTTATCTGTAAGTTGGGAATAAAATAATACTTCTTAAGGTTGTGAGAATTAAATGAGTGAATATTTGTTAAGAAGAAAGGAAGGGAGCCAGACACAGAGTAAATACCAAAGGAAGTTCTTGCTGAGTAAAAGAAATGCTTAGAAATAGTGCTTGGCACATAGAAAGCATTTTTTAAAGTTAGTATTAAAAATAAAATTAAATAAAAAATAAAAAGTTAATACTGCAGCAATTATTATACAGTCCTAGAACATTGACCTTATACTACAGTGAAGTCAAGAAAAGAGAAAGAACCTAACCATATAAAATTGAATTATGCTGACTGGGTGATACAATAGATATGTTATTTTAACTTATATCACTCAATAGTAAAAAACTGTGAGTTGTGAAGCATAATTTTATGATATGAGTACTGATAAAAGTACATAAATTCTAGAAAACAAAACTCATTGTATACAACCCATAAAATGTTCCTGAAAACATTAAGAGAAATATTCTAGTTAAAATACAATTAAATCAACATAAATAATAGTGGGATATATTATTAAAAAATGAGAGTTCAAATGATATTTTTTTAACAATTTGGTTTGTTTGTTTATTTTAAGATTTATTTATTTATTTATCTATTTATTTATTTATTTATTTATACACGCTCTGGGTATAGTCAGAAGCACGGGAGGGTGAGAGGATTCACCAGAGCCAGAGCGGGGAACAGAACAGGCAGACTGATGAAATACACTGCTGAGGGAGCAGCGGGCATGGCAGGAGAGGTCTGCTGGCCATGTGGGACCCTCGCTGGCGGCCAGGGATCAAACTGGAGCTGCAGAGGTTGCAGGCAGCTTCGCAGCCCAGCGCTCAACCACTGCGCCACCAGGGGAGGCCCAAATGATATATTTTAGCAAAGCTATTTAAGAATGAGTATAAACAAAGTAATTAACAAAATAACTGAGATAAAAGCAAACCTGAAGTAATTAATAAAATTAAAAGCAGAAACTCAGGTAAAATTGATAAATCCAAGAACTTTGTCTTGGAAAAGAGCAAGCAATAAGTTAAATAGTTTCCTGATAAAGTTAATTAATTAATATATGGGGAAATTAACAAATATATGGGGAAAAGAAGGTACAATTATGTAATTGATGATTTTAATTATGAAACAACAATATTATCATGCAGAGCTTTATATCCTAAGTGAGAAAATGCTGATGGAGACTTTTAAAGTGAAAATGTACATTGTAAAATAACTACAGTTGATTCTCATTATTCTCAACAGTTAGAAACACTGAACTCTATAAATCCTGACTCATTGGCCCGAGGGAAAATTCAGGATTAGGTTCCTGCAAGTCTCTGGCCACATATTCATCAACAGATTAAAACATAATCCTATTTTATCACTGTTTCTGTTTAAAGACAGATTTTCTAAAACATACTGTTGATTTATTAACATTGACTCACATTGAGCCATCAGTCCTATAACTCATACCTGAAATAAGTCTATCTAACACAGGTATTTTTTTCCTGAGACACATCATGGTCTTCTTGTATTTAAGAACACTAGACATTACGTGAGCATTGTGCTTGAGGAATGTCTTAAACAATGCGATCACCAATAAAAACACAAAAAATGTGAAAAACATCACATTAAACAGATCACAAAAAAAGGTGCTTGTTCACAGGATGAAAGGTGAAGTAAGAGGTAGAGCACTGCCTTGCTCCATCCTAACTCGGACTCTGCACGCAGATGTCTAAAATTTTTCACTGCTCTGAGCATGCACACCTTTATCAATGACCAGAAATGTGTTGTGAGTGTTGATTTGGGCCTACAAACAAAATTTGGCAAGTATAGAATTCATGAATAAAGAGGATGATCTAAAAAGTGTTAAAAATAAATCTAAAGCAAAAGAAATGGAAAAACATCGGTCTCTATCTTCATCCCTGCTCCAGTTTCACGGACAAGTTCTTTTAAACCTTCAAAAACAGATCAGTCGCATTACTACTTAAATTATTTCATAAATTCAAAAGAAAAAAACTAATTCATTTTTTGGAATTTAACATGACAGAATAGCAAGATCTGATAAAGTATGTGTCAAAAAAGAAAGTTCGAGATCAAGCCCACATTTAAATGCAAAAATTTGAAAATTATATGTATATATAATGAAATTTACTTTGAACAATTTCAACTTAAGAAATCTTTATATATAATTCACCAGTGAATAAGTAAAGTGATAAAATCAAATGAGCAATCTTAAAAAAGGTAAAAGAAAACTTAATACAGCTCAGGACCCATCTTAATCAATTTAAACAAAACAAGCTCTAAAATATTGTAGAATAAGAAATTTCTTATTACAGAAGCACTGTCTTTGTGAAACCATTGACTCTAAAACAGGTCAATATAGTCTGGACCAAGAAACAGAAATGCCAGACCTATCTATAGTTACTTTGTATTGTTTGTAAATACTAGCCAATTCAATTAGATAACAGTGGATTGTTCTGGCATTCCTGTCATAAAACTATAATGGGAGTTGTTTTCAAATAACCGATTTAGCATAGGTAAAGGGGTATTATGTATGTGTTATGGGATTTTAGAGACTGTATTTTGTTTTCCTTAGGATGCATGCATTCTTTTGAACCCTAAAGTTTCCTTTACTTCTCTACCAAATACAACTAATCTTCATGCAAATAGGATTCTGATATCTTGTTCTGAAGAACCAGCCTCCTTCTGAGTGTGCAAGATCATATTCCTTCTAGCTAAGAGGTTTGCTAATCAAAAAGCAATTCCCGGAACAACCTTCTGTATTCTATTCTATTTTCTATATTCACAATAGAATTGACAGTGGCAGCTTTGACTTTCTGGGTGGTAGAGATGAAATGAGGTACTTACCCTGGAGAATGGATGCCAAAGAATAGCTGTGATCTGACCCCAACTCTGTTCCTGCAAAGCAGAACTTAGAATTCGAGGAATTCTATTGAAATACTCCAATAGATGACTTGCTATCTTGTTGTTCTCCACATCTGATGTGTGATAATACTAAAATGGTTTCAAGAGGGACTGCCTACCATATAAGACATGGATTTCTCCATGAAATCATCATTAGTTCTTTGTGCAATTTTTTTTTATCATAATGAAAATTATTCAAACATGCAGAATGAGTGGGAACATGACTTATAACTTGTGATTTACTAAAACCGCATCAGGATTTTGACCATTACTATTTTTTCCTTCTTTAAGATTTTAATACTTTACATTAAATGTGAGGGATATGATTTCTGCACTGTTCATACCCCTGCAACAGTTGACCACTCTGTGTCCTATTGTTTCCGCTTTGCTCCAGGCTAAGATGGCTTACAGGTATATTTTGCAATTCTAGGACTTATTTGAGATTCAATAATGAAACTTAATTCCAATTCGAAAGCAAATTAGAGGTCAGCTCTACAATTGAATAATAAAAGAATAAAGTGAGGTGAAACAGGCTAAGGAAGGAATGAACTGCTGTAGAGCAGGAGGGAAGGAAGGAAATTTTGTTGCATGAGCTGAGAAGAGACAGGAAACACCATCGACTGGTAATATCGAGAAATAATAACCTTTGATTCATTATATGCTACTGTCCTTATTTAAGAATTACTTTTTACAGGCTGAGGTAATTTTAAGAAAATGGAGGTTCTTACCCTGCCAAGCACACATGCTACTGTGTTTCCTTCACAACATGTCTGATGTAGATTTTGAACATCTGTGGTCAGTTTGGCAATTTCAGAAAAGTCAGCTTTTGGTTGCTTTTTAGTCAGCAGAACCAACTCCCTGAAAAGAAAAATAAGTAATTTTAAACAATATTTGATTTACTTCTGTGCTAAAATTAGTTCTGATTTATTGAGTCACCAAAAGAATGGCAACACATTTGCAAAAGTAGGGTGAAGAATATATTATAAATGTTTTTTATTTCTTCAATGATAGCAGTCAGTCATACAAAGATCTAAATCACAAATGAACATGATTTAATTCATAATCATGTAAAAAATGGTCATTTTCATCCTTTAAACGATCATTTAAAGAAGTTGAGTTGCTTAGCAGATAATGAAATGTAAAGCTAATGAGTGCTGAAAATTTATCTGACCTGACTTTACTAAGTAAAAATTTTTATTGGGAAGTCAAAATGATACCGACCGTGGCCTCAGTTTCCTTCAGCCAATAAAAGGAAACAGAGTTTGAGGAAAAGGAAAGTGGTTTAATTTGCCAACAAATGAGGAGGGCAGCAGACTGTGTCTGAAAGACCACCATCCTACCCTTTGGCAGAGTGCAGGGTATTTATAAAAAGGGGGGAGATGGGCAAGCGTCTGTGAAGGGGAGAGAGGAAAATTCAGCAAGTTCTTTTGTTGCAGGCATACAGATTTTGGGTGGGTACCAGCTTGCTTTGTGGACAACTGCTGTTTAACTTTCTTTACTTTAGAATGCAAGAAGACAAACCTGCTAAACAGAGAGGAAAATTGCAGGAGATGGGGAAAGATAAACTTGTTAATGCTTATCTGATGGGCCAGGAAGAGAGACCAGACCTTTGTAACTGCATCAAAAAATAGGAGAAATGAGTCCCTTTCACCTCTAACGACAACTAAGAAAATCCTTCTAATTTCTCTGGATATAGAATTTGCCTTCCTTGTAAACAGAAATGAGCTTTCAGGGAGCCCACAGTTCTAAATTGGGGGAGAAGTTTGGATCTACAGAGGACACATACCTTTAAGGGTGGGCCAGGAAAGAGGCAGTCAGTAACATCAAATTCTCTTCCAGTCCACACTCTTCCATCACCACTCAAAAGAAAATACCTCTCACTTTTTCTGTACTACATGACATTGCAGTCAAAATCTTTCCTCCAACCTCTACTATGCAGAACAATTCATTGACTGCATCTGAATGTACAGAATCTTTTGTGTAGCAAGGAAATGACTAAGGGATTTGAGTGATTGAAGAAACTGAGCCAGAGAGAATGGGTGGAGATAAGGATTGTGCAATTTCATGCAGAGCCCTATGTCCTATGAAGAACCAAGTAGAAGAAACCATGCTTGCACTCAGAGAGATTATTAAACAAGAGGTCAAGTTATTTTTCTCAAAGAGATTTAATCAAAAGTTGTGATCCAACAGCAAAAAAGTCCACAGATTTAAACAGTTAACTTACACTGCTTTTGCTACTTTGTGGTTGAATTTAATCCCAATTTCACATAAATGGTGATGCCTCAAAGATAGTTCCTTAATATAGTTCCCCAAGGGTCCTAGCTGTAATTAGAAAAATAACTCATCAATGATATATGGAAATAACAGAAAAGTTAGTCTCATCATTATAAAAAGAAAAGTAAAAAAAAAAAAAAAAATTGTAACTCCTCAAAACTAGAAAGTCTTTATTCTCTTATTTAAAAGACATCAAATGCAAAAGTATCATTTACCATCTTTTTAATAAAGTAGCATCTTATTTCCCCAGAAATCACTTGTGCCAGAACCTCAAACATTTGGAATGTAAATAAGAACTAGAAAGTAAGCACATGGAAGTTCAGAGAGACACTAACATAAATTTCAGTAATGTCTTACAGTTGTATTTTGTATTTATTCAAATTTCTCAGTGTCATCTTGGATACGTTTCCTTCTATTTACCTAAAAGAGATGTTCTGGTTTTGCAATACATACTCACGAAATGCCTCCCTCCCACGGGTTCACTTTCAATAACATAGAATTCTACTTTTGAAATTCTATTGAAAATAAAATTGTCTAAATAGGTTATTTTAAAATCTATGCATAAAAAAATGCATATTTTGTTGTGATTGCACAATTTAGGGGCCAAGATACCTCAACAGTAAGGTGATAGTTAAGTAAAAAACAGCACATTATTTTATAATTCGAATAAAAAGTAGGTACTTTTAAATCTTTAATTAAAACTAAGTACTAAGCATCAGGGTATCACTTAATAAGGTTAAAAACTAAGCTCCCCAACTGCTGGGGAGCAGCAGCAACTAAGCTTCCCAGCAGGTAGATTTGAGAGACTTGAATAAAGGGTAAGGTTGCTATGGGAACCAAGGCATAGGACTGTGGATTCCTATGAGCTGGCTATTAGCTGGCTACTCATAGGCAACTGTGACCTATTTGCTATCTGCAAATCACAACAGAGCATTCCTTGACTACTTACAGAGAATAGCCTGGATCATGAGGCAGGCCAGGGAACACCTAGGCTGCTGTTGACCTGATTGCATTACTATCTCCATGGTGGTCTCAGCATAACTCTGCCTGTGATTACATCAAATACTTCGCTGATGCAAATGTCTCTTGTCATAGGGTCAGTCAAGATGTCCCCTTTCCTGTCCCTTGTAAAGCTTTGTTCCCCATTCCTTTCCTACCCTGGGGACCCTCTTCCTCATACCATTGTTGCACGATCAGCTTTTACTAGCCTGCATGATTTCAATAAATGGCACAAGAACTTCTGCTTGTAGCAGAGTCTTGCCTTGCAAACTTGCTCCACGACTTCTGTGTTCTTCAACAAATTTCCTGTCGCAACATAGGATCATCACTTTGACCAGGAATGAATGTGGAAGCAGGGCCAGGACACATTCTGTGTCGAAGGTCAACACCCAAGATCAGACATCCCAGCAAATAACTGGCCAAAATTGACCCCACAGTTATGAAAAGTCAGTGAAAACAGGTTGTAAAGGGGACTTCCAAATCCTTTGCTCAAAGACCTCTCCCATTTAGTCTGGCCCCATGCTCCTTTGCAGGGTATTTAAATGAATCTGCCTCTTCAGCTCTCCACTCCGTCTCTGGTGAATTCTTTCATTCCCACCTCATGCCCACCCACCTATTCTCTCCACTACACTAAATGCAACCTATGAATGGAAAAAGGAGAAATGGAAATATACCAAAATTGATATTACTGTGTAGTAGAAATATAAATAATATTTTAAAATTTCAGAGAAGCACTAATTTTTAACTTAAAACATTATATTGGATATATTTTATTTTTACTTTGTATAGCTGCACCTTATAGTGCTATTTTTTTTTAAGATTTATTTATGCATACAAGAACTGGGGTACAGGCCAGATGTGTGGAGGGGGTGGTGAGAGGATTCACCAGAGGCAGAGCAGGGAACAGAACAGGCAGATGGACTGAAATACACTGTTGAGGGGAGCAGCAGGTGAGTCAGGAGAGGTCTGCTGCACCAGGAATTGAACTTGTACTGCAGCAGCTGCGAATAGCTTCATAGGTTAGTGTCCTAACCCCTTGTACCACCAGGGAGGCCCTATAGTGCTATTTTAAAGAACAATTTAGAAAATGATACAAAGGCAGTAGTAGTCAAACCACAAAATTGGCACAATAATAATTTTATTAAATAACAATTAACTGTACTTTAGAATTAATTATACATTTAATTATTTTACCTATTTTTTGTATTATATTCATTTGAACTCAAATACCAACAGGTTTACTTCTTCAGAAGCGTCTCTGAAGAATTAACACATAAAATTGGTCTGACGATACACACAATTTTTACACAACTGAGCTTGTGATTTTCTCTGAAGAAGGAGCAAGAACCCACTAAGAATAAATATTTTGGAAGTAGCAAGACTGCAAATAGACAAAGTGAGGTAGAGGAAGACAGAACTCTTAGCTAACTTAAAAGCCTGTGCTTATGGTAACTTTACAGGGGCATGATTCACATTAAGGACAAATTTCCACTGAAAAGTGTTAAGAGTAAGAAAACATTGTTACTTGGGTGTCCCTGGTGGCGCAAGGGGTTAAGAGGCAACCTATGAAGCTATCCGAAGCCACTGCATCACGAGTTCAATTCCCAGCCAGGGAGATACCCACATGGCACAGCAGTCCTTTCATGACTCGCCCACTCCACCCCTCAGCAGTGTATTTCAGTCAATCTACCTGTTCTGTTCCCCACTCTGTCTCTGGCGAATCCTCTCACCCCACACACCTCTGGCCTGTACCCCAGTTCTTATATGCTTAATTAGATAAATCTTTAAAAAAAAAATTGTAACTTAAGATATAAGCAAAAGTTACCAAAAAATACTCACCCACACGAAAAAGCTCATTCTTCAGAAATGAGACATGTCTGTATGGTCATTTGCTCTTAGTTTTTAATTTGTATGAAATCAAAAGGGAAAGAAATGACCATGCTGTTTGGAAATTCAGAATTGGTTTCTGAAGGAATTGGAGTTCACAAGGGACAAGGAAGTAACTTCTGAGACTAGATCATGAGAGGCTATACAACTTTAGCTTTATCCATTTTGACCCTTTTTTGGCCATATGTAAGCATTCTAGTTGCCCTGAGGCTACAGTGTGAGGAAGCCCCAACTAGCAAGGCTGACAGACTACATGGAAATGTCATCAGTGCATATGAGAAGAAAGATGTTGAATCTTCAGCCCCTGAGACTCTCAAGAAAGATAACAAAATGTTTGTCATTGCTTTGAGTCACTAAGTTTTGGGTACTTTGTTATGCAGTGAAAGCAAATGAAATATAAATATTTATTAGGAAGTAGTAGCTATGTTCGATCATGCTTCTCCAAGTTTAATGACTACACCAATTGTTTGGGTAGCTTGCTAAATGAAGTCTTATTTATATAGTAGGTCTGGAGAAAAGCTTCAGATTCTGCATTTCTTTCAAGCCACCAGGTGATGCATAGGCCGCTGGCCCAGAGTCCACAGTTGGCATAACAAGTCCCTCAAAAACAGCTGGCATACAAATATTTTACCTTTGTCTGGAAACATTCTGTCTTATTTTCTTCTTGACAACATGACTGAATAGTTGTTTCATAGCAAGAAGATATGGTCATAATAGTGGGCCCGTATAAGAAGGGATGCTTTCTAGAAGTTTCATAAATATACCTGTAATTTGACAAATATAATGCTGTATAATTTGGAATTCAAAAACATGTGCTGATACCATTCTTCAAAACTTAGTATTCATTTCCTTTTGTTGACATGGAACTTCAAGAATATTTATGGTGATGAAGGTGAGGTGGCACTATACTTAAACGCATCAAATGTTCACTGCATTAACCAAACATCAGTAGAGAGATTTTTATAACAACTGATGTGTATAGCAAAACTCTGGTAACATTTTCTTTTGGTTAAAAGTGAGAAATCTTTTCTTGGTGGATGATTGAGGACGGGGTCATTTGGGATGTTTATCAGATATTTCCAGTTCTCCTTTCTTGAGGCAACTGGTGAGATTGCCCATTCCCACCTTCTCTGAAGTGAAATGACAGTGTTATTTGTTGTGGTTAGTGATATTTGAGTAGAAATGATTTGTTTTATTTGTTACTGCCAAATAGCTTTAGTGGAAATGCATGATTTGCCATCATTTCCTGCCTTTGACATAGTAACATGGAGGCAGGAATTGAGATGGGGTGTTTGTCAGTCTGTCAATGACTGTGATAAACAGACCTTTTACCAATCTACACTGGACAGATTCATGAGTGAAAAATGAACCTTATGTTATATGAAGTTGCTGAAAATTAGAGGAAATTTACCAACACATTGTAATGTAGCTTATCCTGGGATTATTATTTTTGCTGTTCAAAAACCTAGAAAAGAAAAAATCACCCACAAGCCACAGAAGGGGAAATACAGGTCAAATACTAGAACGGAACCTCATTCATTAGCAACTGCATTAAACAGAAAAGTATGTGTATGCTTTGCATGTTACTCCTTCTTCACTCACACACTGGGGTCCCAAAATCTGTCCTTGGAATTTCAGTCAAAAGGTTTGTATCACCCCAGTTTGTCAAGCCCAATTTGTAGAAACAAAACAGCGTAACTGATATTTTCAAGATGTGCCTGCATCCCAAGATATGGAAGCATTCTTGGTAAGTATTAAATTTCACTAAAGCCATTCAATACCTGTTATCTCTATTCGATAATATGCCAATTAAGGACTTATTTTTGTGCTACAGTTACCCTTACAAGATATTCAAGATGGGTCAATCCTTTTCAAATCTCCAAAGGAAAAGCTTAAGCTTGTCTCTAAAGACAAGCTTGTCTCCAAAGACAAGCTTTCTAATGATCACAGCCATTTTAGAAATGAAATGTCCCGATTGTATGGCAACAAAGAGTCACACTTGGTTGAAAGTTGGGTACTAAAGTCAGACTATAATAGAATCCTGATCGTTGTTATCATTCTAGGATAAGAACATTCTAGGATGAGATAATCTAAAGCTATAATTATGTTTTTGTGTATCCATATACTAGATCTTTTGATAAGATCAAACAGCTGATTTTTCCTTTGATATAAGTTATTATTTCCTTGGTTGAGAATTAAATTAAATTTTTGACTTATAATTATGAGGCACTTATTTATAGAAACACTTTTCCTCTGAATATTTATAATTGCATGAACATAAATTAAAGTTTCCATATAAAGTAACTCCTTAATACTGACTTCATTGTAAATATTCAAGAGGCCAGATTCACTGCCCACATATTTGTATTAATGTATAATCTGAAAGTTCAATCCAAAAATTAATTCTAGGGCCTCTCCGGTGGCGCAGTGGTTGAGCGCTGGGTTGCAAAGCTGCCTGCAGCCTCTGCAGGGCCGGTTCGATCCCCGGCTGCTCCCCAGCCACTGGAGGAGGGTCCCACATGGCGCGCAGACCTCTCCTGCCACCCACTGCTCCCCTCAGCAGTGTACTTCGGTCCTTCTGCCTGTTCTGCTCCCTGCTCTGGCTCGGGTGAATTCTCTCACCCTCCCGCGCTTCTGACTGTACCCAGTGCTTGTATAAATAAATTAAAAAAAAAATTAATTCTATAATTCTCATCTAGAGTGGATAGCACTATAGTAAATAGGTACCCAAGCTATTTTAAATTGGGAAATACTCTTCTCCAAAGACAAGAGCAAGGTGAAATGACTTACCTCTTCTTTATTAACATTCGTTTCTCTCTGTCCATCTCACAGATGCGTTCAGGATTTGGGATTTGGACTGTATCACCGTAGTCTGCATCATCTTTTTTGTGTAATAGGAAGCACTTATGTCTTGCTGTACTACTTGCATTGCAACAGTCAGAAAATACCTGTTTATCAGCCATTTCTTGGTTATTACATATATGTTCTAGGAAGGAAGTCATCTGGAGGAGGAAATAACGAAGGAGAAGCATGTGTGGTCTACATTTTTCCCCACAGGACAGTTAAGAAAATATTTCAAAGAAAAGGAAAATGAGTACATAATGTACTTTTTCATTCAAAAGTCCCTGAACATGGCTCTTTTGAACAAAAATCCTTTTAGGTTTTTAGATCTACATTCCTGTATGCTGGACTTCGACCAAATAGAATTTTTCATTTTCTCCTTTCCTATGTAATTGCTTCATTTTCATATACTTGAGAGGTAGTAAAATATACATAAGATAAAATGAATGTGCAGGGCCTAAAGAATTCAAGGTATTATTTTTAGAAATGGAATCTTTTGTGTTCAGAGTTGAGCATGCCACCCTCTGACATACCCACTTACTCCGTGTATAATAACTGTGATTCTGAAGCTGTAATATTTTTCAAAATGGCAAAATCCTATTAAAGACAACCTAGAATTTTTATAGCCATTTTGAGTAACATTCCAGTTTGACCAGATTGCTCATTTACAAAGTGCTTTGGAGAACAGGGTACCCAATGGAAAACAAACAAATGGGATCCTACTTTAATTGGTATGCAGAAGTTTCCAAAACACTTTGAGATTCCAAGATACTACCATTGGAAGATTTATTGCAAAGGCTAAAGAAAATTAAAAAGACAAAGGGTATCTAAAGCAACATCTAGTCCTTCCCTATTACTCCCTTCTAAGGATCTATCATCAAAACTCTGGCCCAGAGAGCAATGTTCTCAATTGTAATCAGCTGGGAACACTGGAAAAGAGATTGTCCTCATTGGCCCTAATTTTAAGGTTTTTTTAACGAGAACTATTCACCAAGAAATATATGGTACTTTACTTTTCTTGCTTCCTAATTGGTTTTAGTTTGGTTTCCATAGCAATTTATTTTAAGACTTGAACTCTGAAGCAATGTGTATTTTGTGTCAAATAGTCAAATAGAAATGTAATAATTCAGTCAGTTTTTAAGTATCTTTGGAGAGTAGTAAAAGTGTGGGATACTGTAAGCTTCAAATAATTTGCTTCCAGATTTGGGGATAAAGGCAGAAAAAGGTCATCTTTTGAACTGGAAATAAGAAGAAATCACAAGAAAATAAGTGAAAGTAACAACTGGCAGAAGTACTTCATTTAAAATGTGTTTCCAATAAGACTAGTTATTTTTCATATGTCCACTAAGAGTCTAGTAAAAAATAAGTAGGTTTTAGTCTCAAAAAGATTGGGGGGGGTGGAAATCTATAAATAAAGAAGAAAACTACTCATTTGTGTTTTAAATTGCTACACATGAGAATTATTCGTTTGAAAAATGTAGATTGTAATAACATACTAGAGTCTATCAAGAAGTTCTTAATTGCAAGACAGATATACTTTACAAGAGACAATGGAAATTCCCAAGATTTTCTACTCACTGGTAAGAAAGAGCCTATAAAAGGTGTTCCCGGATCGCCATTTTGCAGCAGGGACCTTTATTTGGTGGAGACTGTGTGAAGCAAGCAGAAGGCTCACCGAGTAGCCAGACGTAAGCTGGGAGGCTTGCCCATGCAGGGCGCCTTCTAGCCTGCAGTTCCAGCCCAGAGGGGAGCAGCACCCACCACTGGGGCAGACCAGGCGAGCAGGGGAGCGCGTGCCTGGCACCGGCATTTTGCAGCAGGGACCTTTCTTGCTGGAGACTGTGTGAAACAAGCAGAAGGCTCACCGAGGAGCCAGAGGTAAGCTGGGAGGCTTGCCCATGCCGGGCGCCTTCTAGCCTGCAGTCCCAGCCCAGAGGGGAGCGGCACCCACCGCTGGGGCAGACCGGGCGTGCAGGGGAGCGTGCCTGGCACCGGCATTTGCAGCAGGGACCCTTCTTTGGTGGAGACTGTGTGAACCCAGCAGAAGTTCCCCAGAGGAGCCAGAGGTGAGCTGGGAAGGTCACCCAAGATGCCGGTCAGTACCAGCAACACAGTGTCACAAGGAATACGGCAAATTAGAAAACAGGCAGTAGGGAGTAGAAAAACCACATGCAACCCAGCAACTCCTCAGCAAAAAAGCACACCACAAAAAGAAAACCATCTACCAGATTGCAACGACAGTAACTTGGAAGAACTTCTGAGCCTTCCAGATAGAGAATTTAAAATTGCTGTGATTAAAAAACTGACAGAAGTCATAAAGGAAAAAATGATAAGGGGAAAATAATTAATGACCAGAAGAATGAAATTGAATCCCTAAAGAGGGAAGTAAAAGAAATGCAGGAGATCAAAGAATTAATGGAGACGCTAAAGAACTCTGGGAAAAGCAATGAAAGCAGAATAGATGAAATGGAAGAACGAATAAGTACTCTTGAAGACACAGAAATAAAAAGAACTAAAACAGAAAAGGAAGAAGTACGAAGGAAAAAGACCGAAGAAAGACTTCGGGAACTATCTGACTCCATGAGGAAAGGAAATATAAGAGTTATAGAAATCCCAGAAGGAGAGGAGAGAGATGTAGGAACAGAGAAAATATTCAAGGATATAATTGAAGAGAACTTCCCAAACGCGAAGAAGGAGCTGAAAATTGATATACAAGAAGCAAGAAGAACACCAAACTTCCATGACGAAAGGAAAAATACAGCAAGACACATAATAGTAAAGCTCCCAAGAATCCAAGACAAGGAAAAAATAATGAAACTGACAAGAGGGAAGAAACAGATAATATTCAAAGGGAAACCAATCAGACTGACATCAGACTTCTCTGAAGAAACACTACGGGCAAGGAGAGAGTGGAGGGACATAGTCAACAGACTCCAAGAAAACAGATGCCAACCAAGAATACTCTATCCCGCAAAGCTCTCCTTCCTCTATGAAGAAAGAATAAGGACGTTCTCAGACAAACAGAAACTCTGGAATTTTATTACGACTAAACCCCCACTCCAAAAAATACTACAAGGAGTCCTAAAGCCTGAACCTCAGAGGGACAAATAACAACAAAAGAAGGCCAAAGAAAGTTATTAAAAGAATAAATAAATAAAATCAAAGGAAAGACGAACACAATGGCAAATACAGATGCTAACATATCAATACTAACTCTAAATGTAAATGGACTAAACTCTTCAATAAAAAGACAAAGAGTTGCAGGCTGGATTAAGAAACAAAACCCAACCTTTTGCTGTCTCCAGGAAACACATTTAGCTGCAAAAGATAAAAATAGACTCAAAGTTAAAGGATGGAAAACAATTCTACAAGCAAATGGACCAAAACAGAAGGCAGGACCAGCTATACTCATATCAGATAAAACAGATTTCAAACTTAAAAAGATAAAAAGAGACCCCAGTGGTCATTACATTATGATCAAGGGGACAATACTTCAAGAAGAAATAACACTCATTAACATATATTCACCAAACGAAGGAGCACCAAAATATATCAGACAACTATTGGCATCGCTGAAAACAGACATCAGAGAAAACACATACGTAGTGGGAGACTTCAACACACCACTATCAACAATGGATAGATCAACAAGACAAAAAATAAGTAAAGACACTAAAGCTCTAAATAAGGATCTAGAGTGCTTGGGCTTAACAGACATATATAGAACGCTAAACCCCAAAAAATCTCAGTATACATTTTTCTCAAGCGCACACGGATCATTCTCCAGGATCGATCATATACTGGGGCACAAGACAAACATCAACAGATACTCCAAGATTGAAATCATACCAACCATCTTTTCTGACCATGAAGGCATCAAACTAGAAATAAACCATAAAAAGAAGGCAAGGTACTCTTCTACCTCATGGAGATTGAAACCCACACTACTGGAAGTCCACTGGACTAATGAGGAGATAAAAGAAGAAATTAAAAAATTCTTTGAATTGAATGACAAGGAGGACACCAATTTCCTAAATATATGGGATGCAGCAAAAGCAGTAATAAGAGGAAAATATATAGCAATAGATGCTCACATCAAGAAATAAGAAAGAACTCAAAGAAACAACCTAATCTCGAAGCTCAAAGATCTAGAAAAAGAACAACAAAAAAAACCCCAAAACCAGTAGAAGAAAAGAAATAATAAAAACCAAAGCAGAAATAAATGAAATCAAAACTAAAAAAACAATCCAAAAGATCAATGAAACCAAGAGCTGGTTCTTTGAAAAAATCAATAAAATAGATAAACCCCTAGCCAGGCTCACAAGGTCAAAAAGGGAGAAAGCACAAATAAATAGGATAATAAATGAAAGAGGAGAAATCACAACGGACACAGCAGAAATCAAAAGAATAAATAATAACTACTATGAACAGTTATATGGAAACAAGTTCAACAATCTAGAGGAGATGGACAAATTCCTACAACTCTACAATCACCCAAAGCTAGACAAAGAAGAAATAGAACACCTAAACAGACCAATTACAAGCAGTGAAATTGAAATGGTAATCAAAAACCTCCCCAAAAACAAAAGCCCAGGACCTGATGGATTTACAAACGAATTCTACCAAACATTCAGAGACGAATTGGTGCCTATCCTTCACAAACTCTTCCAAAAAATTGAGAAGGAAGGTATAATACCTAACACGTTCTATGAAGCCAACATTACACTAATACCAAAACCGAACAAGGACAACACAAAAAAAGAAAACTATAGGCCAATCTCCCTAATGAACACTGATGCAAAAATCCTCAATAAAATTTTAGCTATCAGAATCCAACAGTGTATCCATAAGATAATTCACCACGACCAAGTAGGATTCATTCCAGGGCCACAAGGATGGTTCAACATCCGAAAATCAATCAACGTTATCCAACACATCAATATAAAAACCATATGATAATATCAATAGATGCCGAGAAAGCTTTCGACAAAGTGCAACACCCATTCATGATAAAAGCCCTTGAAATTCTTGGGATACAAGGAACATACCTCAACATCATAAAGGCCATCTATGACAAGCCAACAGCCAGTATCATTCTCAATGGTGAAAAGCTGAAAGCATTTCCATTAAGATCTGGAACAAGACAAGGATGTCCACTCTCACCACTGCTTTTCAATATAATACTGGAAGTCCTAGCCAGAGCAATAAGACAAGAGAAAGACATCCAAGGAATCCAAATAGGAAAAGAAGAAGTCAAACTATCACTATTTGCAGATGATATGATAATATACATAGAGAACCCCAAAAACTCCATAGAAAAACTAATTAAACTCATCAATCAGTTCAGCAAAGTGGCAGGATACAAAATCAACTTGCAAAAGTCAGAAGCCTTCCTATACACTAACAATAAATCTGAAGAAGAAGAAATGAGAAAAACCATCCCCTTTATTATCGAAACAAAAAAAATCAAATACTTGGGAATAAATCTAACAAAAGAGGTAAAGGACCTTTACAAAGAAAACTATAAAACACTGTTAAAAGAAATATAAGAAGACACAAAGAAATGGAAAGACATCCCCTGCTCATGGATTGGAAGAATAAACATTATTAAAATGGCCATCCTTCCAAAAGCAATATACCGATTCAATGCTATTCCAATAAAAATTTCAATGTTATTCTTCAAAGAAATAGAACAATTATTGATGAAATTCATATGGAATCACAAAAAACCCCGAATAGCCAAAGCTCTCCTGAAAAAAAAAAGAAGGGAATGGAGGCATCACACTCCCAGATTTCAGGCTATACTACAAAGCCATAATCATCAAAACTGCATAGTATTGGAAAAAGAACAGACACACAGACCAATGGAATCGAATAGAAAATCCAGAAATAAGCCCACAGATTTATGGTCAACTAATATTTGACAAAGGAGCAAAGAATATGCATTGGAGCAAAGAAAGTCTGTTCAGTAAATGGTGCTGGGAAAACTGGGTCGCTACATGCAAAAGAATGAAGCTTGACTACTACCTCACACCATACACAAAAACCAACTTAAAATGGATTAAAGAACTAGACATAAAACCTGAAACCATAAAATACATAGAAGGAAATATAGGTGAAACACTACGGGATATGCACATCAAAGACATCTTTACAGACACATCACCCAAAGCAGTGATAGTGAAGGCAAAGATCAACAGCTGGGACTACATCAAATTAAAGAGCTTCTGCACAGCAAAAGAGACAATAACAAAAACAAAGAGAAATACCACCAACTGGGAGAACATTTTTGCACACAACACTCATGATAAAGGATTGATCACAAAAATCTGCAAAGAGCTGATGAGACTCAACAACAACAAAGAAAATAATCCAGTCAAAAAATGGGCAGAAGAGCTAAAAAGAAACTTCTCTGAAGAGGAAATGCAAATGGCCAACAGACATATGAAAAAATGTTCAACATCACTTGTAATCAGGGAAATGCAAATTAAAACTACCATGAGATACCATCTTACACCAGTGAGAATGGCACATATTAAAAAAACTAGCAACAACAAATGTTGGGGAGGGTGTGGAGAAAAAGGAACTCTTCTGCACTGTTGGTGGGAGTGCAAACTGGTCCAACCACTATGGAGAGCTGTGTGGAGATTTCTGGACCTGCTAAACATAGAGCTTCCATAGGATCCAGCAATTCCACTCCTAGGTATTTACCCAAAGGACACAGAAACATCAATTCCAAAGAACACCTGCACCCCTATGTTTATAGCAGCACTATTTACAATAGCTAAGCTTTGGAAACAGCCCAAATGCCCAAAAATAGATGACTGGATCAAGAAGATGTGGTACATATATACCATGGAATATTACTCAGCATTCAAAAAAGATAAAAACATGCAATTTGCAGCAACATGGATGGCGCTGGAAGCGATCATGCTCAGCGAAATAAGTTAGAAAGAAAAAGAAAAATACCGGATGGTCTCACTCATAGCAGGAATCTAGAAAACTTAAATAAGGGACCAGGAAAATGAATAACTATAAGAAAGTGAAAATCAAAATCAACAAAAATCTATGAACCAGAGACACTTTTGGGGGGGTGGTGGGAGGGGAGGGATTGGGGTCAAAATGGGGGGGGTTGAAATTGTATGGGGAATATAAAAATAAAATTTATTATTAAAAAAAAAAGAAAGAGCCTATAAAAACATTTACTTCTTCTTTCTCATATTCTCTTAGAACCTGCTTTTAAATTAGTTTCTTAGTTTCCCAGAAATCTTTATATAGGATGTCAGACTAGTGTTCTAGTGACAAGCACAGCAGCTAACTTATAAATCAAGCAAGTTGGTATTTGAAGATATAATTCATTCTCTTGAGTGTTTGCAAACATTCTCAATTGATAAACTGTAGATTCATAAACCCACAAAAATTGTATTTTGAGTGTGACATGTGTACATATTATTGCCTTAAAATTTCCTACTAGTTATTTTAACATCCCTCCTCAAAATATCAATTTTTTGTCATAATCTAGTTAGTTGTTTTTTTTTTCTAAGACAGAAAGAAGAGCAGAATATGTTTCACCTACCAATTGGAGAGAGCATCCTGCAGATGAATCATGAGACTTGATGTTTTTGCACTTCTCTGTAAGATCTATCAATTCTTTAACTATGGCTTGTACTTCATTATAAGTCAATTCCTGAAGAAACTGAGCAACCATAATGCTAGTGCTGAAACATAACACCATGTGAATTGAATAGATTCAAACCTTTTCCTCCATCATTCTTTCTCATATCACTGCCCCACCTCCACCCTATCACAAAAAAAGTTAATATGATTTCCAATTTCAGACAAAAGACTATTGATAATAAACTCACATGTCTCTTAAATTCTCCTCCAGATAATTTTGGCTTTTCATGTGCTGCATGGCTAGAAAAAAATTGAGATTTTATTTGTGTAAGAAGAAATTTTACAAATTGAAATGTTTCTTTACAATTCAGAAATCTGTATTTATTCAGTCATAAATTTCCAGATCTATTTTATTCAGTTTATTAATTAAACTAAATTACCAGAATATATCTTCATTTATGTTTAACTATATCCTGTAGTGATATTTGTATTCAAATATATTGTATAGCTGAAATCTATCATTGGCCTACAAATAAATTACATGTACTTGTGTTGGTATTACTGAATTAATTTAACTTGGTTATTTGATTCTTTACTTTAGGAGTTTACAAGCTCACCCAAGAAATATTAGGAAAATTAAAGTTTAGCATTGGAAGTAATTGCTTAAAGATTAACACTTTGCCAGGCTTACTTTGGCAAAGACATTATTATCTTGGAAACCTCTCCCTTCTTATCTTCAACACATACACATGTTCTCTATTGAAAAGAATGTCTTCCTTCTACTAATAGCTTCAAAGGAGTTTAGCAGCTCACTATAAAGAAACAACTATTATCCATTACATTAACATAAGGAAAGACTTTGGAGATAGCTATTCTAAGTTCAGCTTCCATCTCTGAAATTTATTTTGACTTCTGATACTTAACATGAACTTGAGCTTCTGTTTCTCACTCCATAAAATGAAAATAAGTCCTACTACGTTGGGTGGTTGTTAGGATTACATGAAAGTAAATCTATGAAACATTGAATACAATGCCTGGCACATAAAAGGTGCATAAATAGTGCAACTCATAATATTATTCTTGCTACTATAAACACTGTTCTATCTAAAATAACTTAACCAATTTCAAATACAAGTTTGAAATGGTCATTCTCTCACTTTGAGTGGAAGTAAATCTAAACTGAGATCTTCTTCTGTGTGTTGCCTCAGTATGTCCACTCTCTTCCTGTATCTATTCCACAATTTTCAATCCCTCTGTTAACAGCACTGACCCTGAAAAGATATGCTTTTCCAGATACCATTTTAGGCATATATCGTATCTCCTGGCACATAGAATGTATAGATTGTAAACCGAATTCCCTACCTGCATCTAGTAAACTTCTGTGAAGAGTTTGACATTTAATGTAGCTGAAGAAAATGAGAAAAAGTAGGAGTCTAAGAGTCTTCATTATTTCAGCTGAATCTTTCAAGTGCTCTGATCATTTGAGATAACTGAAGAATCCTTTTATATTCTTTTCAAGTAATTACTATTAATAATTAACCTTTCTCCAGTGAATAATTTTTCCAGATTGCTATGACTGATAAAATTGAAAAATTTTTGACAATGAAGAGATGTTACTGATGGATAGCATTCATTAATGAATACTGGATTTTAAAATGAGTCCTGACGGTCTGTTTGTTTTTTATTTTTTTCAAGATTACATGATGTAGGACTCATAATAATCAATAAACATTTTTGGTAAATATCTCATTTCCTGCAAATGCCTATCGACATGTTCAAAGTTCTAAAGTGGCAGAGAAGATAAACATGTGCCGCCCTAGATTCAAGTTAAAGGTTAGGCCCTAGTTCCAATATTGGGCATATTTTCAAGACCCTGGAGAGAGGCAGGAACATAAGCACTGGGAGTAAATACAAGTAACAGGACCTAATTTATTGTTTACTATGAGTCTGGTTCTTTATATGACTATATTTAGATAGTAAAATTTTTATTTCTTGAATAAAAATTAATATTCAGAGTCATATAATTTGTTTATGTACTCACAGTCAGAAATTCAAGTCTGAATTTGAACCCACATACCCAACAAGTAGTATTAAAGCCAGTTTCCCAACCTTTCTCAATGGTTTCTCCTTTGTCTTTCATCCAGTCTTTGAGTGTAGGGTGAGAATCAGGTAATCACCAATCAAACAAAACCTCTAAGATTTAAGTAAAGCCCCTAGTTTTCAGAAATGGGAGATCATTGGGTGCTGTTTTAACCATTCCTATCCTTACTTTACTCCTTTGTAATATATTGTTTGCACAAAGGAGTTTATTATATGAGGACTCTTCCCATATAGTTGCTGTTGCAGAGTTTTGCCTTTCATCAATTAGATAGTTATCCAGTGAGCAAAAGATACAGAATGAATGCATCTGACTGCTTAATTATGTTATTAAATTGATAATTTTGTGTTTATTGTTTGCTGCAAAAACATGATTTCAGGTAAAGACTGGAAATATCTATGTGTTGTCAAAAAATGAAATTTCACCACACCTCTGATAAGTTGTTCTTCCTTTTCTCAGCAACCTGGGAAGAAAATAGCACCTTATGCAACAAAAGAATATTAACTGCTATAACCTGGGTGACAGAAAGTCATGTATGTAAAGTACTTCTAGTAGCAACTATGTTTGCCTCTGTGGGGGTCCAAATACCCCTTCCAGGACAATGTACTTCATTGTTATATGCTCCCAACATTTTGTTCTTAAAGGTTGTGCACGAATCTTGCAAAAGCTACAAAGAAGGGTGCATTCTTTATATAATTTTTGGAAATCACAAACATACTGCTTTTCTTTTTGCTTATGGAATTCCTGCAGCAGGAGTCTGGAAACAGTTTATTGAGGCTTGTCTGCCCATCCCAACCCCATCTCTGTCAACACACATAGATTTGATTGTCCCCCAGCCTCTCTTGTGGAAACATCTGAGTGCAACAGCAGAAAAGCAGAGGATTTGTTGTGTGAGGCTATTCAGAAAACTGCTTGAACAGTAAGAAGTACTGGCATTGATGTAGCAATGCCCCCCCATAAATAGTGATGATAACAGAAATATTACCAATCAATACTGGGGTCCATTAGCTGCAGGCACATGGAATGAACCAGCAACAGACATTGAAACAAGAAAGGTGAAAAGCCAGGGAGACTAAATAAGTGACAAATGCCTCTGACATTTGATTAAGATAGAAGGTGTTAACTTTGATAGTTTTTCCTTGATGATTTTCAAGCAGCCTGGTTTTGGGTTGACAGTTTTGGAAGCTGAGAGGAAAAAAAGTAATAAAAAACACACAGGAAGAAAACGGTTTTATTATTTAAATTTAGAGAAACATGTTTCCTTGAAATCTGTAAAGAAAAATTAAGCTGTTCCCATATTGTACAAGGAGAACATGACCATTTTCTTTAAGTGAACTTGGGAACAGACACTGCAAATTTTCTATGACTACCAGTAAATACCTCCATTTATATGGCCTCAACAGGCACACTCACTCAGGTAAATAATACATATTGATTAATACTCTCTAATTAAATCAAACATATTTCTCAAAACCTAATCATTTGAACCCCCCCAAAAATTCCCACAAATTAAGCACTCATTTGGAAAAGAAGGGAACTCTCAATCAGAATGAAACTCCATGTAAGTGTGTGTGCACATGTGTATAGTGAGGGAGTGGAAGGTAAAGGAAGTAGGGGTGCTGAGTGCACACTTCCATATTGCATGCACCCCTACTTCCTTTACTTTCCACTCCCTCACTATACACATGTATTTTAAATTGAGGGTTGTTGGTACAAAGCCCAGGAAGGTGACACCCCTGATACCTTTACTTCCTAATCCCTTCTTGCTCCCCTTCCTTTTCAGCTGCCATGAGTTCCTTTGCAAGTCAGTCTGACTATTTTATTAAGACAATGAGTGTTTCAAAACAGAAGAGTAGGAACAGTGGTATAATTCAAGGATAATTATTACCACCCTCACTGATAGATGTTGAACTGCAGTTGAAGTTACATGACCAAGACTGCTGGAATTAGCAATCATGTTTCCTGACATTTTTCTTATCCCTGTTATCACCAAGGAGATATTGCAAAATGCTATCAGAGAGATGTCTTCCTAGTAAGTTGTAGAGCAATTGTGCTCTCAAACATGGGCCTCAAAGAAACTGCAGGGAGGGCCTCCCTGGTGGCACAGGCAGTTGAGCGCAGCACTGTGAAGCTGGCCGCATCCTCCGCAGGGCCAGTTCGATCCCGGCGGCTGGCTGGTGAGGGTCCCACATGGTGTGGCAGACCTCTCTTGTCTTGCCCCCTGCTCCCCTCAGCAGTGTTTTGGTCAGTCTGCCTGTTCTGTTCCCCGCTCTGTCTCTGGTGAATCCTCTCACCCTCCCATGCATCTGGCCCATACCCGGATTCTTGTATCAATAAATAAATCTTTAAAAAAGAAAGAAAGAAACTGCAGGGAGAAGGCAGGGTCTTATAAGAACTTCAAATTTTTGCTTGACCAGAAATACCAGTTGAAATTCTGTGGAAAGGAATAGATCTACCTCTTCAGGCTCAGTGTCCTCTGCTTTGCAGCACTTCTCCACCATATTAGAGAAATCTGTAAGCAATGACTGTAGTCTCTCTTTTATAATCTCAGGACTCAGCTTCACCAAGTTGACAAGAAACCCATGACCCAAAGGTGTCAAATAGTATTAATTATAGTTTTTTTTTTTTTCTGAAGTTCCTGGTTTCCAAAATGCTTATTAACAGTATCACGAGTCTGGAGATGGTGGTGTGGGGGGGTGTCTCAATTTGGGTGATTGTAATAAAATTTGAATATTGCACTCGGGTCTCCTGAAACTTTCCTCCTGAACTTTTAAGATGCATTCCATGATAACCAGAAATTTTCTATTTCTTTGTAAGTTTGGTACTTCTCTAAAACTCTTTAATAGTTACTTATTACTTTTACAATCATAGCTAAATACAATATGACTCAATAAAACAGAGTACATAAATAAAAATAGGAAGTATCTGATACAAATCTTTTAGTATCAATATACCAGATTTGTAGATCAAAACATCATCCGTGCCCAAACTGATGTTAGAGCTCACACTAGCTTAAAGTAGACTCAGGTTAGTCAATCATATTTTCTGCCTGTTTGACTAAAGTAAAATTTTGACATCAATTTTTAATTGTTGGGTTGTTTTGTTTTGTTTCATTCTCCGAACCCATGGCATCTCTGTAACAGTCCAGGGGGGTTTCTGTGACACAGCACTCTGTCAGGAGATCCTCATACATTCCAGCAATTCTTAAAAGCTCTGGTGTGGACAGTTCTGGATGTCTCTTTGAATATCCTAAATAAGTCTGTGATATTTAAAGCATTTGTATATTAGAACTCAGAGAAAGAGTACAACACCAAATCCTGTTATCTTTTTGCCTAGTCAGATCTTCTAATACTGAGTTTGCTTCCAAATGCTATTTTCCTCCTCTTGTTTGATCAAGGAGTGGTTTAAGAGGAACTTTTGAAACAGTTACAAAAGTTCTCTTCCATATTATAATTTAAACTAACAATGCATTTACTTGGGAAGATAAAATTATTGGAGTTAACTATTAGAATTATTTAATTCATAGTGTATCAGAAATGGTAGATTATGCTTGTAAATGCTTTAGAAAATAAATATTGTATATAATTCTATTTGAAATTGTGTTCAGACATCCTCCTTGAGATGGTGAAAATATGACCTCCTCCCCATGCTTTTGCCAGTTACCTCATCCTGTCACTTATCAAACATGAGAGCAATTACACCTTCCATTCTCAATCATTGGCAGTGGTTTCCAGCTAACACTAAGTCCTTAGGAGGGGCTAAGCACTAGAATTAAGTTTTGGGCATAAGAGATAAAGATGGGCTTTCTGATCTTTATAAACACTTTCTCATTGAACTTTGCTTCATCCTCAAGATATGTGCTATTTTATAGCAGAGGAAATTAAGTTTCAAGACTATTTAAGCATCATCTTGTTATTAATGGAAATATAACATTTGAATCTAGATCTTATGGGATTACTACTTCATTGTTTTAAAAAACAAATTCGCTCTCTTCTCCAGAGATGAATGTCTTCTCTAAGCACTTCAGCTGTGTTATTGACCATTTTCCTGATAATAGAGGTTTATGTATCATTCAACGTAAGTTAAAAAGATATGCTGTGTTTCATGAGAGCAATACTTCACAAAAGTTTTTCAAGCAGAAAAAAATATCTTCATCCCTTTTTGTTCTGCGATCTTTGACACTTGATTAATCTTGGTTTTTCTAACATTGTTTCCATCTGACTTCTAAGCCCCATATGTGGGACAAATCCCTATATCCTAAAAACAGAGGTGCTAAACCTTCAGAGAATCAAGTACATTTTTTTAATAGATGATATCATGAACCCCTTGTCAGGAATAAAATTGCACCT